CACACTCACTCACTCACACACACACACACACTCACACACTCACACACACACACTCACACACTCACACACTCACACACTCACTCACTCACTCACTCACTCACTCCCTCACTCACTCACTCACTCACTCTCACTCACTCACTCACTCACTCACTCACTCACTCACTCACTCACTCACTCACTCACTCACTCACTCACTCACTCACTCACTCACTCACTCACTCACTCACTCACTCACTCACTCACTCACACACTCACACACTCACACACACACACACCACACACACACACACACACCGCACACACACACACACACCCCACACACCCCACACCACACACACACACACCACACACCACACACACCCACACACACACACACACACCACACACCCACACCACACACACACACCACACACACACACACACACACCACACACACACACCACACACACACCACACACACCACACACACACACACCACACACACGCACACCACACACACACACACCACACACACCACACACACACTACACACCCACACACCACACACCACACACCACACACCACACACCACACACCACACACCACACCCCACACCCCACACCCCACGCACCACACACCACACACCACACACCACACACATTCCACACATTGCACACATTGCACACATTGCACACACCCCACACGCATACACGGATACACATACGAGCGCGGCTCACACAAGTACATGCACACACGCACGTACACACATACACAGATACGCGCGCACACACACACACACACGCCAACGCACACAGACGTAAAGATGTACAAACATGCAGACATACAGATCTACAGACATAGAGAGACAGAGACACAGATGAACAAAACAAAACAGCATGGGTTGTTCCCCGTCAGCCTTGAACTACTTCATGGGGAAGCTCAAATTCACGCTGTCGGAGCATTAGGGGGGGAGGGGTGGGCCGGGGAGGATGGTCTTATGGAAATGCCGCGGAATTCATGTATTTATTTACTTACTCAGTCAGTCAGCCAGTCATTCATTTTAATCATTTCATTTATTTCATTCATTTCAGTCATTTCATTCATTGATTCATTCATTCGTTCGTTCGTTCATTCATTCATTCATTCATTCATTCATTCATTCATTCATTCATTCATTCATTTTATTTATTTCATTTATTTCAGTCATTTCATTCATTTCATTCAGTTCATTAATTTCATTCATTCATTTATTCATTCATTCCTTCATTTAATTTCATTTCATTCCATTGCATTTCCATGTCCATTTCCATTCCATTCCATTCCATTGAATTCCATTCTATTCCATTCAGTCACTCATTCGTTTGTTCGTTCATTCATTCAGTCATTCATTCATTCATTCATTCATTCATTCATTCATTCATTCATTCATTCATTCATTCATTTATTTCTGGCATTTCTGGCATTTCATGCATTTCTTGCATTTCATTCATTTCAGTCATTTCAGTCGTTTCATTCATTTCATTCGTTTCATTTCATTTCATGTCATTTCATGTCATTTCATTTAATTTCATTTATTAATTCATTCATTCAATCATTCATTCATTCATTCATTCATGCATGCATTCATTCATTCATTCATTCATTCATTCATTCATTCATTCATTCATTCATTCATTCATTCATTCATTTATGCATTTATTCACATGCAGGCACACAAGTAACGTACACACGCCCGTACATGCGAACCTATACATACATACGTACACCGACACAAACAGACAGACACACATACATACATACATACATACATGAATGCATGCATGCATGCATGCATGTATGCATACAGAGTTACACAGCTGTGCACACGCACACCTACCACAACACGCACGCGTGCTGCGTACACTTTGCAGACAGGTGCACGAACGCTCGCGAGCGTAGAGCAACCCGTGCACGCATCCATCTACATACGCATGCGCGCGCATCCATCTACATACGCCATGAAAGCATGCGTTCCCGCCAGTCTGCCTGCACGCAATCCTTTCTTGGGGCTTCCTTTGCTCAGGAGGCTCCTCCAGATAAAGCATTACCCAGGCGTGATATGGCTGTGGGTCAAAAATAGGTACCCGAAATGGAACCCTGGTAAATTGAACCAAAGACTAGAACCCGCGGTCCCCTGGTGGCTTAATTTTGACCCACACCCATATGAGGTGTTCGGCTTTTTGCAGTTCGTGGTTCTTTTGTTGCAGTTGTAGCTGCACACATTGGGCAACGCTCAGCCCACGATGCTCGAGAAGAGCTGACCCACGCCCAAGGCTGCACGAGCCAATTTATTACAACTGGTGCCCCGGAGAATCCCCAGTGCCTCTATTTGAAGATATGTTTTTGGTGCTGTGTTGCACCAGTGAGGAGTCACAAGCTACGAGGGCACTTGTCAAATATATGTCCCATCGCCGAAAGCTATCGGGGTTCTAGCTTCTAACAAAGAGGGGACGACTGGGTGCCACCAGCTTGGAGTGCTGATGCAGTTGCTGTGTTGGATTGACGATGATGGCAGGGCCGTGAGGGGTGCTGTTGCAGGTGACGGCAGGGTGCTGACGGCAAGGTGGTGCTGTGGTGGAGGTGCTGGAGATTGATGCTAGGGGCATGCTGTTTGGGGTGCTGTTTTGGGGTGCTGCTTGGGCTGTTTGAGGTACGGCGCAGGCAGTTTGGCGTGCTGGTGCAGGTGCCGTTTTGGGGCGCTGTTTGCATTTTGTCGAGATTGGTGGCAGGGTGCTACGGGGGGTGCTGTTTCGGGGGGAAAACGGTGCAGGCGCATTTTTTGCGAGATTGACGGCAGGGTGCTGGGGGGGATCCAGGCATAGGCGTGTCTTGCGGTGCTGGTCACGGCATGCAGCGCAGGTGCTTTTTCGGGTCATTTTCGGGGGTGCTGTTTGAGGTGCTGGCGCTGGTGCGAGCGCATCTGTGCAAGATTGCATGATGACAGTGCTGCTTGGGTGCTGTTTGAGGTGTTGGCGACAGATTGACGGCAGGGTGCTAGGGCGGGTGCTGCTTGGGGGTGCTGGAGGTGCTGGCGACGGCACGGGCGCATTTTTGCAAGATTGACGGCAGTGCCAGGAGGCCTGCAGTTTGGGGGACTTTCAGCTTAGGGTGCTGATGGAAATGTGGCCATGGTGCGGCGCATTTTTGGCGAGATTGAAGTTTGGGGTGCTGTTATGCTGCCTGGGGTGCTTGGGGTACTGTTGAGGCGCTGGTGACGGCGGGCGCATTTTGTCCACTTCCAAAATGGGGGCGAATTCGGGCGAAGTGGGGGTCTCTTTGGCGCTATCATGATGACATCGAGGTCATCACGATGCTGCTGAGTTCATTAGGGCGCTGTTTGTGCTTATATAGAGCCCATAATGTCGGTCAAATCTCCAACGCTATCTGGGGTATATGCTGGTGGAGTTTTCAAGGGGCACTTTTCATGTTCCAGAAGTGTCGGCAGTTGCTGCCGCACGCCCTTTGGCGGGCAACGAAATGCCGCGCTCTTGCAGCGCAACGTGTACGCTCTTCGTGGCTGGTGTTCGAGTTTGCGCCGTCGGCAACTGAGCTTTTGAGCAACTTTCAGCATATTCCAGAGGTCCTGTTGTACATATCGTCCCTTGGGATTTAGGATTGTGATTTGTTGCATATAGCTCATCTTGTGAAGCATTTTCAAGCTTTCCTGTTCTTTTGACTCGGTATGACCAACTCTTGGCTCTTTGGCTCTTTGGCCCAGCTTTGGCTGCAGGCTCACCGATTCGGGGTATTCAGGAGCAAACGCCGCTGCCTTGCTCCAGCGCAATCGCCACGTTGCGTGACTCGCTAATTTAAGCAGGTTTCTGCAGGACGTCCAAGCGACGTCTTTGCCGCAGGCATTGCTCATGCCTCAGCAGTTCCCAAGTGCGGATGCCGGGCTCTGTCAAACAGATGCCGTGAGCACGGCAAGGATGGTGTTTGCCCTTCCTTGCATGCCACGAGAAATTCATGCTGTGCCGGAAGTTGTTCCAAGGGAGTACGTCCTGTTGGAGTATGACCATGTGGTACTATTTCAAGAAAGAACGCAATGAACGACTCTCTGAACTTAGCAAAAAAGCTCATGCAATGGAGCAGCTGCAGCCATGCGGGATTCCACCGGCCACAGATACCTAGGTCCCAGGTTTTCTTTTACCAACTTTTTTGGTTGGGAGGGTTCCCCCACTAAAATAGACGTCCAGAAAAAAGGATACCCTTATTCTAACCTCTCTACTGGAGGACCTAGAATACTGTCCGTGGAATCGTAAGGGCTGCAATTTTTGTCGGCAGGGATTGATTCGCGGCAGCTCACCCTCGGCCACCGACTTGATCACAGGCGACGGAATCAAGCCAAACACGGACCTGCGACAACCAATCGGAGGCAAAACATGCTCGGGCCACAGAATTAAGATGATTTTGTTTTCCGGAGTTGTGTAATTTCCTCAATTCTGTAGTTTTGCACCTTTTGAATGGTAATCTTGTATAAACTACAAACTGAATACTGAACCGAACCTAGTAGAGACCAAACACAACTTGGTGCTCCCTCTCAAATCTGTGCGCCTGGAGGTGTGTGCAAGGGGACGGCAGGCGGCAAACAACTGGCCAGCTTCGTAGAATATTCACACACGTAAATTGTCTTGTCGTGACGTAGTTAGGTGTAAGAATTCCTACCCCGTTGGACCCTTGAACAAACCTTTTTTGGTTGCCGGCATTGTTTTCGGGTTTTTCCCAAAAGAAAACTGAAGCCAATCTTCGAAGCTTATGGATCAGGGGGAGCCAGGTCATGGGAGGATTCCCCCCGTTTGATGCAGCTTGAGCAAGCTTGAGATGGGAAATGGGGCTCCTTAAAAGATACATTTTGCCCATTTGAAACATGGCTTTTCCACCAAAATAAAAGGAAACCACCATTTACAAGGCAATGTAAGGATCTCTGGAAAATGGGGAGGGATCCCTCAGTATCCAGACATGGCAGCCTTCGGCACGCGCAGGACCTTGAGAAGGCGCTACAAGAGTTCCAATCGGCGCAGGAGGCCCACCAGAAATTTCTGGAGGCCGGCGATTTTTTGATTCGCGATGCAAAAAACAGCGCTTTTTGTTTTTCTCTTTGGATGCAACATGTCTTCTAATTCTCAACTTGCCCCAAAAGGAAAGCAAAAGGGATTTGTTTTCGTTTGATTTTTCAGGCCCCTTGCTGAATGCGCGGTCCAAGGCCGGGTGGTTTGAATTCAATCCTGAGTTTTTCCGGCAAATCATTGTTGTTTCTCTGGAGGGATCGCCCTGATTTTGGAACAAGCCAGCCTTGCGTTACGGTACCTTGACTTATAATCTAGGTCCCCCAGTAGTGCCCTTTTGCTCTTTTTCTTGGGGAGGGTTCCCCGGCTATACCGAAAAAGGGTACCCTTATTCTAACCTTTCTACTGGACGCCCTAGTAATCCAAATGGGCCGTTTCTTATTTTCAGGTGACAAACACTTTGGCGCAAAAGCCACCACAAAGAATCAACTTGATCACTGGCCGGGCGAGGGGCCGGCCATTTGCAGGGCGCCATGGTTTCACGAAAGATCCGCTTCCCTCCAATTGGTGGTCCGGCGCTGAATGGGGTACCCTCTGCAAGAGCCAGGGCCTCAAATTCCCAAACCACCAATCCCAACCACCAAAAATAAAGGCGACTTCAGGTGGGAACACTCCCACACATCCATTATATTATATCAAGTGACACCGAATGACATTCGAGAGGTAAACAAGACACGGACAAGGCATACCATAAACTGATGAGATGCGGCGAGGGAGATGACGGGACAAGTTCGGCGAGATGGGAGGAGAGATTGGATGATATGAGATGAGAGGAGATGAGTGTTTGATTGACTTCCTGCTTGCCTGCCTGCCTGACGCACTGACATGGACTCTTTGTGGTCGACAATTTGTGTTCCTGCGCGCTCGCCTGCCTGTCAGCGAGCAGGGACACCATCAGGTTGCCTGACAGATTCTTATTTAGGAATGCTGGCAAAAAAAAACAGCACATGATTCCTCCATCATCACAAGGTAGTTTGGATCAGTACCCTACAACCCTATTGGAGTTACAACACGGCCGTGATTACACGGTTTCACTTTGTGGGGTGAGTTAGTTGGAGGAACCAAATAAGTGTCCACATTGGCCACAAATTGAAAGCCAGACGGGATTTTGACTTTGGTACTCAAGCACTGAACTAGTCAACCAAAACATAAGATTTCTTCTCTGTTGAAATGGGCGTGACTCCAAATGCAAGGACCAAGGGCCCTTGAGTGGAGTTCCCAGCGTTTCCATTTCGGACGGCTTCCGATTTTGGGGGTCCAAATCTTAGAGTCTCGCTTTTTGGGCGGTCTTTTTCAGGAAGTTGCCAAGAAGAAGGACCTGGAGTCTCCATGAGCCTTAAAAAAAAGGGGTCATTACCCCAAATTCAGGGGTCATGGACACAATTGTTAAGGGTCGTGGATTCTAGGGACCGCAGTAGCCTTTTTGGGGGGCCCATGGAAAGACAGCCGAAGCCAGTACTTCCATTTGCTTCAGATTTTTTGTTTTCCCCTTGTTGGTTTTAAACAGAATGTATCTCTACTGGGCATATTATGTATATATATATATATATATTTAGGGGGTCTCAACCAAACGGAATCGGTAGGCCCCAGAACGGAAAACCTCGCGATCTTCTTCTCAATTTTTCCTCGCCTCACAGAAAGGCGGAGGCCTCCGCGCACAGCTGGCCGGAGCTGCGGCAGCGGGAGCTGGAGCTCCGGAAGAGGGCCGTGGAGGCGACCGGCGGGTGTTCGCTCGAGTCGGGGCAAGAATGGCCGAAGCTGAAGGGGGGGGACGTGGGAGGTGTCTTCTCTTTTTTTTTTTGTTTTTGTTTGGTCCTTCTTTTTTTTTTCTGGTCATGTGTTTTTTTTCTGGTCACGTGTGGGAAGCAAGATGTGTTTGTGTTGCAAAGTTCGGCTCGGACGTTGGGCCATTAAAAAACAGGGAGTCCATCGATCTTTTCCCGGGGCCCCAAAATGGCTGACGTGATGTTGGTTTCTTGTGGAGACCTCAGAAATGCTACGCAGCCGCGAAGGAAAACGGCGGTCCGCGAAGGCTCGTCTAATGGTTTTAGTCGTGTCAATAGTGGGGGTGTCGAATTTCTAGAGACTCCCCTTTGGGTGGTTTCAAAGGGATGTTGAAAGGCAACTCTCCAAAATACAATTTTGCACTATTCTTCGATCAGGGCAAAGTTGAGACAGACACTGAACTGCCTTTGGGTTGCGGTTGAAGTCAGGTGTCACTTACCTATTTGGCTGTGGGTCAAAACCAATGGTACCATTTTGGGGTAGGTGCATCACCCATTTTAGTCTATTTTTGGGGGGATTGGGATGTCCACTGGAGTACGGGATATTGACCCATGGCCATTTCTTGCCATCGAAATGGGCATGTGTCAAGACTAGGCACTTGATGGTAGGTGCTCAAAGACATCTACGCGAGCACCTACCATCAAGGTATACTCAGTTGTCCAAAGCCAACCTTTTTCCCCTCTTAGTCCACTGTAGTAAAGGCCCCAAAAGGTGAACCTTTTATTTCTGGGTCCTTTGGGCAAGTGAGTATATCTTAAATGTCTTTCTTTTGCTGGTTTGCCTCGGCGGTATCTTCATTTCTGCAGAAGCTGCGACCTATCGAGAACGCTGAAGGGGGTGTCTCAAAGTGGAAGGGACTTGTTTGGGTTCAGATGTGATTTGTGGAGTGCAGCATGCGATGGTCATGCATTGAGTAATCATGTTATGAGCTTCCCAGCTTCGCACACACACGCACACACAAACTCAGAGCAATATACAGGCGTCTATGTGTATGTACACTTGGGTGTATAGCATGTACACACACAGAGTACATGTCTAAGTAATACTTATTTTGTGAGGGTGAACTTTCCTTTATCGGGCTCTGCAGATCGCTTGACGTGATCTTGCATCAGGCACCAGGGTCCAGAAGGGCTGGCGATTTCTGCAAACTCCGAGAGAATGCGCCATTTCTTTACTCAGTTCTACTCGGGCAGGGATGCAAAAATATGGAGCCCGGCTACAAAGTGTAGAGAAGCACTGTACAGGCGGCGAAAAAGTACGGGCGGCGAGGACGGCGGACTGCAACCCTCCACTTCCAAGGCAGTCGGAGGGGGCTTTCTCGGATGCCTTCAGGGACTAAGGCAAACACAAACCCACCCGCTAGGACCCCCCAATGGCTGGCAAATAACCCCAAAACAGCCATTGCAAGGTCATTCCACAGACCATTTGCCAGCCATTGGGGGGTCCTGGTGCATGGTGTCCTGTTTCGGCCACGGATGGCACTTAACGGGAGCTAACCGTTCTAGGCGGGAGACGCCACGGGCTTGTTTTGAACATCTTTCTGTTTCGTTGCAGGCTTCAGGTGGGGCCAGCCGAGCTCCCAAGACAGAAAGGACGCTTTTAAAGAGATTTCGGGTGGTTCAACCTCTTGGCCTCCAACAACCTGAGCCAACCTCCTTCAACAACCTCATTTTGACTTATTTATCAGGGCTCCTTACAAGATACATTTTGCCCAATTGAAACATGGCATTTTCCACCCAAATAAAGGGAAACCACCATTTAACAGGCAATGTTCCGTATAATGTAAGGATCCCTGTTTATTGTCATTAGTGTAAAACCGCCCGGGCTTTTCGTCGTCACAGATCCACAAACCGTCCGTCAGCGAGCGAGGCCTTCGGGCGCTGCAAGCCGCTGATCTTAGAGCGCCGCCTGGAGATCCGCCCGGAGCTGCTGCGGGCGCCCTTGACGCCGCTCAAACTCCTCGGGCCGGCGCTTTTTTCGGCGCTTTAGCCAAGGGGGGGGGGCCGTTTTTAGGGAGGTTTTCGGCTTTACCACTTGCCGGGAGGTGCTCCCCTTTAGGAGCTACGAGGGCAAGCTCAGCTTCTGCCAAATCCTTGGATCCTGGTGAATACCTGGATCCCCAAGTAGCCACTTTTTTGGCCAGCCACTTTACCCACTAGTAGCCCATCATTTGGCAAAAATAGCTAGAAAAAAGGGCGTCTGGGGATCCAGGTGGGGACTATATGTCCAAATGTGTCACCTTGAGGGCCGAACCTCCGATCAGTCATGGACCCTCCCCATTTGTTGCTCTTCAGACCCCCCCCCAACCACCCCCGCCCCCCCAAACAGCCCCCCCCCCCCCCGTACGGCTGTGCTGCTCCAAGAGCCCTGTTGTTTTGAACATGGAACCCCCTGTACGGCTCTATGTTCCACATGCTGGGAGGGCAAATGGGCCAGGTGGTTTGCTTTTGGAGGGTGACCCACCACCCGCCCACCCGCCCGCCCGCCCGCCCACCCAACCGCCCATTCGTTTACAGGGAACCCAACCGGAAAAAACCGCTGCGCCTCTTCGCCTTGCCGCTTCGGGCTTCGGGCGCGGGGGGGGGCCGAGGCCCGACACCTGGCCGGAGACGGCGGCCGTGTTGCACCTCGGCGACGAGGCCTTGAGAAAGCTGCTGCCGCCAGGCGGGCGGGGAGGGAAGGCCGAGGCCGAGAGGCCCGCCGCGTTTTTTTTGGGGGAGAAGCTTCCATTGGATGAAATGAATATATGTTTTTGATTTTTCCCCCCTGGTGGTTTTCAATGGAATCCATCATTACTGGAAATAGTTCGATTTTTTCCAGGGGTCTTAACCAAATGGAAGAAAGCGAAAGGAAGCCATGAACTGGGGTGGCTCAAGGAACGCCAGGTCTGTTTTGGTGATGGTGCCCTTTCTGGTTTTGAAGGGGAAACCGCACGGAAAACCACTGCCGTTTAAAAAGACACAAGGAAACTTGCCCAAAGGCAACCAATTTTGAAAGCCGAAGTCTGAACCGCGGACAGTTATGGACACGGAAGCAGCTGGATTGGGATTCCGAATGCACGGGCCGCATTCAAAGAGATCGCGACTCGGTTGTCTAAATGGACCCTGGGTAAGCTTGGTGTTCATGGTGCAATATGCGGCCATGTTCGACAGGGCTCCTTAAAAGATACCTTTTGCCCATTTGAAACATGGCCTTTTCGACCAAAATAAAGGGACACCACCAATTAAGGGGCAATGTTCAGGTGTATAATGTTTCGATCCCTGTTTATTGTCACAGGGGTGTCTACTTTCTTGACCTTGTGGCTGACAGCACTGCGAGATGCACTTGTGGACGTGGCCTGCGGAAATGCGAGCAATGCAGACTTGGTCTCTGAAGTTGAGTTTCGTTCATTCCTTAGAGGCAAAGAGATACTCCTTCGTTGGCGATTTAGAGGTACTCCTTCGTCATTGGCGATTTCTGTGACTTGTCCCAAGTTGGATTTCAGTGCCATCACAACCAGATGAGCCAAAGGAATCTTAGATGTGGTCCCAACCCAAACCATGACCGGAGGACCTTGCTTTCAGCGGAGAACCTGGCTGACGCGCGAATGCGCATGGTCAGAGATGAATCTATAACTTTTCTTGAAGGTACGTTTGTTGGTGTGGTAAAGGTAGACCAACACCATGGAAGCTGTCTATTTGCCGAAGGTCCCTTTCCTGGCTTTTCCAGGCCACTGGGCCATCCGAAAGCCAAGCAACGGGTGTCCTTGCTTCAGGCCCTCAACGCGAAGAAACCGGTGTTTTGGTTTCCCCCTTTGTCCAGTGGCGAACCGCCTGGTTGCGAGGCGCCTTCGACCCCTTGCTGTGGGCCAAGGAAGGCCCTGGAAGGCGCCGGCGACGCTTTTTGATTGCTTTTTGGTTTGTTTTTTTGGGGTGGGGAGTGGGTGAAACTGATTTTTGATTTTTATATATTTTTTTTATTTATTTTTTTGTTCATACATATATATATATATACATATATATATATATATACATATATATATATATATATTGTGGGGGTGGGGAGTGGGTGAAATTGATTCAAGTGATTGGGGGGGAATTTAGTTCAAACTCTCCAGGAGGGAAACTGAAAGGTTGTAAGGAGTTGGCCGCATGGGAAGTGGCCACTCATATCACAAGGCAACTAACAATAAGCGGAGCAACCATGTGAAGTTTGGGTGTTCTCAAGTTGGTCGGCTTCTCAGGATATGTAGTCCCTGTGTGAAATGAGCCAGCAGTGTCTTTATTTAGTAGCATACATTTTGCAACATAAACCGCTTCGGGTAGGCTTGGACACCTCGGCGAAGGAACCTTCGGAGACTGGCTGACCCTTATTGGGAATGCCACCCGTAGATCGACCGGATTCGTTGACCTGTGACAAGCATGACTCAAAGCCGAGCACCCTTAATGCATGGTTTGACACTGACACAGTAGGCTTTGTTGATGGGGTCTCAACCTAAAGTGGTCTGATTATTTGCATCAAAGTCGCTGGGCAACTGGCATAGTGGTCTTTTTGATTACCCCACCACCGATGAACATGGAACCTGACAGGGGGGTCCTGGAAGACGGTTTTCCTTCTAAAGGGACCTCCTGTCAGGTTCCATGTTAGTTGCTGGGAGGCTAGTTTGTGTAGGGAAACCAAGGGAAACATTAACCAAGGGAAACCAAGGGAAACCAAGGAACTCCTGTATTTCGTGATATTTCCAGGTCAATCATCATTTGAGGGTGTCTTCGGTGGTGCCTAAGAGGAGTTCGTAATCCACAGACGCCACCGGTTTGGCTGGTGAAAACCCACCGGTGAACATCAATAGGCGAGTCAATTTGTTCCACCCCAAAATGGGCGGTCAAAAAATGAAAAGCCACCAGGACTTGGACCACAGGTTCGGGTCCGTGGTTCCATTGGATTCCGTTTTGGGTACAATTTGTTTTGACCCACAATGGCCACGGCTCAAAAAAATGGCACCTTGATAAATGGAACCAAAGACCAAAAGCCGCGTGACCCCCGCTCTTTAATTTTGAGCCATACCCAAATGGAGCCATGGCCGCTTGTTTGGTTACAGCGTTCGCCCGCTCAGGCTGCTGGACCAAGCGCGGGCCATGTCTGAGCTGGACGCCCTGCCCGCGAGGGCGCAGCAGCTGGCCCAGAGAGGCGACGATGAGCCGGGCGAAATCCGTGGCCTCGCGGTAGGGAAAGGCCACGGAAACTTCAAGGGGTGTGTGTTGCTGCCTGAGGGTGAAGCCCATTTCCTGGTGGTCATTTGGTGAACCTGGTGAGTGTAGCTTCTAGGGGTAACTTCCATTTCCGTTCTTTCCAGGGATCCGAATCTTTTGAGAGAACCACCAAAAACCCTGGGGAAATGGCGATCGGTTTTTGAAAAGAACGATGGCTGAAAAGAATGGTTGGAATCACCCCCTAGAGGGGTGTGTTTTGCCGGCTTGTTGAGGGTACTACCTTTCATGTCAGCTTGAGAGGACCAAAAGGACAATCCACTGGTGAGCTTGAGGGGGTCAGGTACACAGAGACACACTTAAATCCCAGGGACCAAAAGAAGAAAGGGGTTTCCTGCCTTTCCTGATCGATGGTAGAAGTGGGACCCAAGAAGTTGCCTAAACGGGGACAGGATTTGTGTCCCCAGAGCATTCCTTCAAAAGTTCGGTATTTGCCGTCCGTCCTGGCCCCCAAAGCACCGTGGCTTGACCCTGCGATGTTCTGCTTTCTCTTTGTGTTTGCAATAGCCGTGTTGCTTGCGTTTCATATTGGACTTGCTGGATTATCACATGAAGTTTGTTCTACTTTACAACGCTCGTAGCTTTCTTTTACCACGAAATGCTTGTCTCCTTTTATTATTGAAGCGATATGTCCCATGGTCAACCAAAAGAAACACTTGCCACATGAGAAGCAAGCTTTCAAGAAGACTGGCTAATCACTCATCTGCGTGTTTTGATTTCTTTGAATGATCACGCCATGGAGTTGTCATTTCAATTTCCGGGAAAAATAAGACAAACAAGAATGGCGTCCTTTCCTAGACTGGTTCAGGGCATGCTCTTGTTTTACCGTGATCTATCACTCACTTTGTTTTAAGTCTTTAGTGGACACCCCAAATTGCCATGTGGTTGATTCGTGGGAGGTCAGGTGGAAGCGGGATCATAGAGTTGACGGAATCCCTGATCAGAAGCCAGTAGAGGTTCGTGGAATATCGATTGCCGCGAATTTTCCACCGCAAGGTAAATAGGCCATTTCCTCTCGACATGACGAGTTTTACCAGATCCCGAGCGTCCGAGCGTCCGAGCGTCAGGCCCCGGCACTTTGTCGGAGCTTTTGGCGCTGGTAGCGCACGAGACGGCTGCGCTGGTGTCAATGTCGGACGGAGCCAAAAGGGCCGGGGAGCCCTGGAGCAGTTGGTTGAGTTCTGAAGAAGTGGGGTCGCTTGAGTGTGTGTAAACGTCGGACAAGAACACGAATGCCGACATGGGGTGGTTTGTTTTTAGCGTACCATCCAGCAAACATTTTTCCTGCACGCAAGTGGTTTAGAGTCCATGGGTCATTGACTCCGTCAACATGGTCAGTTGAGCAAAAGACAGCATGCCACTTGTATCGATGGTTCCGGGGCCATGCGGCGGCTTTTGGGCCATGCGGCTGATTCAATGTTCTTGGCAGTTTTCACTGTGGTTTTGTTCCGCGTGCTGAGCATGGTGCACTTCTTTTTGTGTCGTCCGGCAATTGTCCAAGCCGCGGAGCGGAAGATAGCTTAAGCCCAAACATGTTTGCTCAAAGCAGCCGTCCATGGGGAAGTTGCCATTGGATATCTCGTTGCCTGGAATTGCTGAGCAAGAGGGATGATGGCACCGCTATTGCCGACTTACGAAGGGAGGTGGCGAGGCAGGCTTGGACACCTCTCAACCTTTGAACTGAAGAGTCCCGCACTGAGCCAGCTCGTTTTTGCTTGCCTCACGTTTCAAGCCTGCGGGAGCATTGCTAAGATGCACCAAGCCGCAGTTGTTCTAAGCTACTGTTGGCATGTATTTTAGTGGTGGCTTCTTTGTTGGTATGTCTAGGGGGCAAACTCTGCAGGGCATACTTTGAACCAAACGAAGAGCTGTTGTTCTTTTGCGCTAGCTCCCCCAGTGGTTTTTTACCCCCCTTTTTGGTTGGAGGGTTCCCCTACTAAAATAGACTATAGAGAGAAGTTGGTACGCTTCCAACCTCTCTACTGGACCTAGTGTGCCTGTTTCCATAGGCTAGCAACGCGAGGTCCTGGTGCTGGGTGGCCACGGCAGCTCGGCGAATCCAGCCCTCCAAGGGGTTCAAGGGATGAGCTAGGACTGACTCCCTGAGCACTGGACTGGACGGTTTTTGGGGTCACCATTTGTGTGGCAAGTAAGTTTCGTTTCGGACTTGTTCGACGTGAGTGAAAGAGCTGGCCCTTTATGTTGGCCCAGACTTGTTTTGTTTTTTTGACTGGCGCCAAGTGTTTGCTGTATGCGCAGCAAGTGCTGTTGGAGCTCGAAGTGCGCTGTGCGTAGGATTTTCCATTTGCACACTGTTGCACCCGTAGCCATTTTGGCTCAAGCTTGCACACCAGTAACCTTGAGACAAGCAGCACCTGCATCCCTCGTGCGAAACAATGGCTACCAGTCGCGACACTTGCATGCGTGATCGTCTTGAGGGGCGTCCGGCTTTTCAAGCGATCACGGATGGGGGGCAGTGTAAGTGCTTGCATTGCTTCAAGGAATTGGGTTACTTCTCACGTGAGAAGGGGCGCGTCCCTATCTTGATATACGCACGACCCTGTGAGAAACATGCCCTGCTCCATCCGACAGCGTACAACATTGGCCAGTGGAGCCTCTCCCTCATGGGACTTGAGCGTGTCTACACCCAGAAACCGTTGGGTGGACTCGCTGTTCTGTGGGTTGATGAGGCCATGCTGGGACAGATCGATGTTCAGCTGCTGCGACAAGACAACAAAACGGACAGGGCCGCTGGTCTCGACGCCTATGCATTTTGCAACAAGGTGGGCCAGATCGCGGAGTCCTTTCCGACAAAGAAGTCGCAGATGGTTTTGGCGCACGTGCACATCGCCATGGTGATGAAGTGGGAGTGCGCCAAGTGGGCGCCCTTATTTGACACTCCTCGCCAGATTTATTGAGCGTAGTACTAGCAACAGCGGTTCCCAGACCGCCTCCCTCATGGATCCAGCCGAGGGACTGGATTATCGGAGGTACGGCATCATGGACGTCTCGCAAGCGCCCATGGTCGTGGCCGTCCCCGTGGACCCTGAATTTCATTGAAGGGGGAATGGCGCCCAGCGCACCGCCACCCGCCAGTGTGATGCCTATGCTCCGGAGGAGTGACAGCATCTTTGTGGATGGATGGGGGGGGGTGTGAGAATGCGAATGAGTGATACCATGCCGAGGAGGAAGACAACCCGACGTCTCTCACCACGGAATTCGAGCCGGAAACTGGGGAAGCTGTCAAGGGTTGAATTGAGTCGTTTGTCAACAGGCCGCCAAAGGAGGGCGGAGACGGCGGAGTCGCGTATGTTCTCCCACCGCCCCCGGGCCTAAATGTTGGCGGAGTGATAGGAGATCCAGCGGCCGTGGACGTCAGTGGGAAGGTTGACGTGCGCGGCGGGAAGGTCGTTGTGGCAAAGCGGAGCGATGACCAGAAGGGGCACAAGTTGTGCAAAGCCGAATGGGACCAGCAGCGCGGAATCATGCACATGGAGGCGGAATTGCATGATGGAGACGGCATCGCTGTAAATTCACAACATCGGCCCCAAGACGATGGTCCATCGGGCACTGGAAGGTGTCAAGGTTTCCGCGAAATCCCTGAGTAACGCGCTCGATCACGGACCGCCATTTCAAGTTTGATGACGGCATCGGCAAAGTGAGTGCTATCGGCAAGCGTGCCCTGCAGACGGTGGTTAGCATCTTTAAGGTGCACCTCGTGAGGTCTGCTGTGAGTCGTGGTGTGGTCGACGAGATCTACAACCGGCTCATTAGTGCACCCGACAAGTACAAGTCGAGCAAGTGGAGCGAGAAAGCGTTTTGCGAAGCGCTGCACTCTGCAGGTCTTGACCAGGGCACAGGCCTGCGCAAGAGCGGCCATGTGAAACCCAATGAGGCGCTCAAGAAGGAAAAGCCAAGGCTGATATTGGAGGGGGGACCGCGCGCGGTGATTACTCACCTCTTTGACGCCGGCATCATGGAAGATCTCGTGTTTAACACGCCCTTCTTTGAACGCGGATCCATCAAACACACGAACATGGCCGGTCTGTGCATGCGGATGGGCAAGTTGGCAGAGGAGTTCGACTTCACCGCCTCTCTTGACTTCGGGGCTTTTGACGGGTTTCTGGGGAAAGACATAAGAGGCGAGGTCGAGAAGAGTCTCCTGGCTAGCGTCGTCGGACATTTGGTGCACGCTTGTCAGCTCACCAAAGATGCGCTGGGCGCCAGGGAGGACGAGAACCTCAAAGCACGCATCCAGAACGAGGCGCGACTCCTAGTTGAGGAGAAAATCAGGGAATCCGGAGACCGCGGAACATCGATCCTCAACTATACATCACAAATGTAGTAGCATTCCTGGCAGCGATTGTACTACTGATGTGGGAAAAAAAGGTGCCGGAGAAGGTCGTGAAGAAGATGATCACCGACTTCTTTGAGGAGCGAGGCGCCCTCTTCGATGTGATCGGAGAAGGTGATGATGGCGAACACTTCTTTATTCGAAGCACCTGCTCACGATGCTTGGTTACGTGAGGGACGGGAGGCCCATGACCTTCGATTTCGGGAGGGACTTCGTCAAGCAGTACAAGGAACTCGGCCTCCGCCTATAGAGCCACAGGGCGTCGATGGCGAGGTGTCGTACGACGCCGCCTTGGTGTTCGAAGTTGTTCATCTACCTAAAGGGTAAGGGAGCGTGGCTCCCGAAACCCAAAAAGACCTCTGTCGGAAGCCAAGAGTCTTTCGATGTGGCGAGCAGCGTCCACAACGCGGGCATGGTGAAGGCCCTGGCGTTGATGAACAACTGCCAGTGCTGCGACGTCATGTTCTGGTACTTTGCCGCAATGTTCAAGTACCACAGGTGCCAGGTGAGCTATGAGTAGGCGGAGAAGGCGCACAAGGCTTACAAGGCTGCGACATGGAACTACTACGCATCTGGGAACGGGTACCTGGTGGAGAAGACGGTGGACGGCCAGTACGAGGATCTCCTCAAGGTCGCCGAGGTGTGGAGAACGGAGGACATCTCGGCGAGCGTCGACGCCTCGACTCGGCGTTCCGGCAGGAGACCGGAATGACACAGGACACTCAACGTAATTGGGTTCTTGCGTTCCGTGGGGCAGATCCGGACACCCTGCGGGACAAGATGGCATCCTTCTTGGATGCCATTGGTTGCTGATCGCGCAACAAACGGGCGGTACCGGCCGCCCTGTGCACCCGGGAGTCTGGCCAGCTCCCACGCCTGGGTAACAAGTAGCTCCAGCGCAGGCCGCTAGGATGCCCTTCTTCATCTGAATCATCGTCATCGGAATCTCGATCATAATCAACCTGCTCCATGTTGACATTCTCGGGTTGTTGAGAGGCGGATGGATTCTCATCAGCGACTTGCTCCATGGGGCAATCGGATGTCTCATCTTCCTCATCACGAGCAGGGGATTCCTTCAATGGTGACGCCCGTCTCTTGATCATCGGCTTTGGCACAGGTGCCGCATCGCCGGATCGTCCGAAGATCATATTGAGAATGGGCATGTCTTCGAAGTGATCGAGCATACAAGATTGCAAAGGTCGGATTGGTTGTAAACCGAAAGTGGCTGCGGAGGCAGACACATATTTCTTGAGATTCAAAACGGGTCAAGTGCAAACACGCGCATCACGGAATTGAGGAATTGAAAATATGCAAAACTGAAAAACTCATGCATCAGAATTCGTGGACTTGCGGATCATGCCCAGGTTCCCCAATAAGCAAACATGGATTCTGCTATACCGACTCCTGCAAAGGCAATGATGTCGGGTCCGTGCTTCGTGTTGTGCGCTAGCCACGCAACGGGCTTCGAAGTTTAGGTCCGCGCTCGAGGCTCGCGGCTTGGAGTTGGCGTTTGGGGTTTCGGGGCTCAGGGCTCGGGGCTTCGCGCTCTCCAGGTCGCGGCTTTGGCTTGGAGTTTCGGGCGGCGGGGGTCGGCGTTTCGTGCTTTAGGGCTCGGGTTTCGGGGCTTCCGGTTTCGAGGGTCGGGGTTAGGTTTTGGGGCTCTGGGCTCCGAGGTTTTTGGGCTTCGGGGATTGGTGTCTCGGGGCGCGAGTCGGGGCGCAGGGCGCTGGGCGGGGCGCTCGCTTCCGCAGGTTTCGGTCCCGCGTTCCACGGGGCCCCCCTTTCGCGGGCCAGGGCGGCGCCCCCCCCCTCCGTGCTGGGCCCGGGGCGGAGTCGCCTTTTTTTTTTTAGCTAAAAGGCGCCAGGGCGCGCCCCCTACCAAGAAAAACGAAAACGTCTACAGAGCACCGACAGACCACTTTGTCTAAAAGGCGCCAGGGCTGACCCCCTACCAACCAAAAGCTTAGCGGTTAGCTTACCACTTTTGTGATCCCAGTATTTTCTCTTGGGCGCCAAGCTGTGTTGGCGAACCCTGGAGCCCTTAGCCCTAAAACCTAGTAGCGGGCGACCGTCCCAAGAACCGGCGGAGGAGGAGGAAAGAAGAAAAGGCTGCGGCGGGCGACCGACCCGAGAACCGGCGGAGGCAGAAAGGGAAAAAAGAAGAGGCTGCAGCGGGCGACCGACCTAAGAGCCGGCGGAGGAGGAGGAAAGAAAAAGAGGCTGCAGCGGGCGACCGACCCAAGAGCCGGCGGAGGAGGAGGAAAGAAAAACGGGCTGCGGCGGGCACCGACCCAAGAACCGGCGGAGGAGGGAAGCAAAGAAAAAGAGGCTGCGGCGGGCGACCGACCCGAGAACCGGCGGAGGAGGAAAGGAAAGAAAAAGAAGCTGCGGCGGGCGACCGTCCCAAGAACCGGCGGAGGAGGGAAGCAAAGAAAAAGGAGGCTGCAGCGGGCGACCGTCCCAAGAACCGGCGGAGGAGGAAAGGCGAGAATGTGACGTGCTCGTGAGTGTGTGTGTGTGTGTAGTTTTGGCCGTCCGGGTGGCCGACGGGACGTTAAACCGGGAGCCTCGGCCAAGAACGAACGCGGGGCCCCTTACGGTTTTTAATTGCTTTGGCAGGGGGAAACTATGTCCATTTTGCAAAAGTTAGGCGGGCGCCGACGTATTGTAGCGTGCTTCCGTTGCTGCAGGGCCAGGAGCTGAAACCCAAATGTTTTACAGACAGGGGGCATGACAGTCGAGTTGCAAAGGGTGGCAGCGGTTAGGGCTGGACGACATAATTAATAAGTGGTTAGGGCGACCGGGCCTGTTAGTTCAAAGAGTCCTGAGAGTCAACAAAAAAAGCGTTTCAGGGCCCGTCGAGCATTTTGTTTTGGGGGCAGGGGCTTGGCTTGCGGTGTTGCTGTGACTTGTTGCGGCCTAAGTAGAGGTGAAAGAGCCAACTGTTTGCAGGGGAGACGTTGTCTGCTTTGAGCGCTTGGGGGCTTGGGCAGGGGGGGAAGAGAGAGCAACAGGGCAGAGGGCTTTGCGAGTTTTGCAGGGCGAGGTTGGGGCAGGGGAATGTCTGTCAAGTGTCCTGTGCAACCAGTGATGAAGAGGCAAACAGCTGTGACAGGTACGTTTTTCGGGAAGGTCAAGTTTGCAAGGGTCGTGCCGGTCGCAACAGCAAAGGGTCCTGTTGAAGGCTTGGGGCTGGAGAAGCACGCGTGGCTGAAGGTTTGCAAGGGAAGTTGCACGTGTTGAGGTCCGAGACACGCGCGTCAAGTCTTCGTTCGTGAGTTTTTTTTTGGCTCGTCGGTTTGCTTCCCTCGCCTTCTTCTCGCAGCCCTGCCCCCATGTCCCGTGCCGTTCCTGTGTTTGGAAGCGCCCGCTTCCTGGGGCCGCGCCGCGTCGCGCTGGAGCTAGAGGTCCCGGAGCCGGCGCACCTTTGTGAGTCTGGTGGGTGCCCGGCAGCAGGTAGTCGGGTAGGAGGGTGGCTTCTGATGAGTCCGCCTTGGCAGCTGCGCCAACGAAGGACGAAACCAACATGGAACGGTGAGGGCGTCACTACTGCATGCGGGGCAGGGTTCCATGAGAGGGCACATGACCTGGGGTTGAAATCCCAGGATCCATAGGGGATAATCCGAAATAACGGACGTATCCTGTGTGCCGAGTACTCACAAGGTGTGGGTGCCCTCTAGGTGGCTACGGACATCTTTGGGCGCTTTTCTAAGCATGCCTGAGGCACCCAACGTGCCTTTTTTTTTAGGTACGAGAAAAAAACGCTCGAATTACCGATTTCTGCTCGACCCCCCAAAAAACGCTCGCCCCCCGAAAAACGCTCGACCACATCCCCTTCTTCCATCCAGAGGAAGGCGGGATTGTTACGTTTTTTTTAAATTTGCACTCGTTTGCGGATATTTGCGCTCGTTTTGCGGATATTTGCGCTCGTTTTGCACTTTGATTTCTGCTCGCTCCTTTTGAATATTCAGCGACCGGTCATCTTGGAGGACCGACCAGCCCGGTTTTGGGAGAAACGCTCGAAGCAGGAAAAAGTGTACGTTTACCATATTTTGGTGACGACCCCTGGTTTTGCAATACGTTTGGGCTAAGGGCAGAAATTTATGTAACGAAGGGTGCTCCAGGTGGTTTTAAGGGGCAAAGTGTAGAGGAGCCGGGGTTAACAATAACGGCCAACACCAACCCGAAGGGTGGTGACTAACCGCGTGAACCCGATGCTCACCCGCTCCCTATCCGGTGGCATTTTGCCTGGTTAGCCGGATTAAAGCCATGACCGAAGGTTTTTAGTATGTAGGCATGGGGAGATTTGTACATAACTGGCTAAAGAGCGAGGAGTAGCGAGTGTTGCTTAGACGTTTCCTTTCGCCAGTCATGGCTGAAACTTTCGCCTTCAATGCTGACATCCAGCAGTTGATGTCCTTGATCATCAACACCTTCTTTAGCAACAAGGAGATCTTCCTGCGCGAGCTGATTTCCAACGCATCCGATGCCTTGGACAAGATCCGGTATGAGAGCATCACCCTCTCTACTGGAGGACCTGGCCTAGGCTATACCCCTACTGTGGATGAACGAAATCCTGCACCACTTTGAAGCCAGGCGAAACCCTTGTTTGTTGGCATGGGGATCTTCATTCCAGGGCTTCTTGGTGCAGGAATTAGTCCATCCACAGTACGTAAGCCCTAGCCAATCCAACACCCCTTGAGAGAAAGGACTAATCCCTTAAAAGGCTACCATTCAGCTGCCTAGGATCTATTTCCAGGATCTTGGTTCGCAGGTTTTGTCATGGTTGTTGCCGGCAAACAATTCACATTTTTGATCTTATCGTGGTTGAGTGGGTGAAATCCAACCACTTAACTGCTAAAAACATAAAATTTGGTTGCTCCCCTTCCCCACTGAACTGCTAAAAAAGCGTGTTTTTGTTGCTCCCCTCCCAACGTCAACCCAGTTCCCCCGGGCGAGGCGTCTCCGGGGTCTTCGCCGCCCGCGCGGGAGCCGAGACCAGTGTCTGGGAGCCCGCCGCCGACGTGGCCGCGGCCGCGCGGGAGGCGCCGGGCTCCGTGGGCAGGAGGTTTTGAGGGTGCCCCCGGAGCTCGGGCTGGGGGCTGAATTACTTGCGATTTGTTTTTTTGAGGAGGGTTCTTTTGGTTCCTGTGAAGGGTGTTATTTAGTTGAAGGGTGTATTTAGCAGTGTTTGTGTTTTTGAGGGAACCCTTTTTTGGGGTGGTCTTAAAGGGAAATCAAAGGGAACGCCACAATTTATTGGGCCCAGCATTTTGGCACAGCATGTTTCTATCTTGTGTGTGCGCGGGTGCGCATGACAAACTCGACTAGTTCTTGCTGCTGGAAGCTTGACATTGTGTCGCCATTGCAGAGAGGCGGATTTTTTGTGGTTCGCTGTTTGCTTCTGCCGTTTCGCAGTGCAATCTTCAGGCAGCAAGCAGAAGTCATGTAGTCCGCTCCTCCTGTTGTTTGACCAGGACAAAATAGCAACATGGAATAAAAAACTGTAAGTTGCAAGATTCCCCAGATGTTCATTAATTTGGTTTCGGCCTGTGTCAATTTGGCCTCCCCTGTCCTTTTGAACTCGCTTGGCCGAGCGTCACCTAGACCCTTAGACGATGAATGCTGTTCATTATCTTTGTCTTCTTTGACTATAGTTGGCACCATTGAGGCAGAGACTAGGAAGACCTTGCTCTACATCGACAACTATCCTCAAAAGACTGAATCGCAGTCGAATGTTTCCTCAGCTCGACGGCGCCGCTTTGAGCAATCCTTCGCACAGAATGTCCGTCGACTCAAACTTGTTTGACTGGCATTTTCAGGGGAATTGCCCATAGGAGTTGGAAGAGACATGTCAAAAACACATTTTGACCTGTGGCCCTTCATATTTGATTGGACGTGCAAAGTTTGACCTGCCCTTCATTGGTCAAACACGAAAAAAGCGACGCCCGTTGCAGCATGCCTTGGCGACCAGCCAGGTGCTTCGGCGAAACCTCAGGCCGGAGGAGGCGCAGAGTGGAAAAGTTGGGAAGCGGTAAACCCCGGCAGGGAATGACCCTTCCGAGTTTTGGGAATGAACCCAGGGATTCCCTTAAGGCAAACCAAATCGGGGATGGCGTGTAAAGGGGTCATTCCAAGTCTCATTCCCTGCTGAGAGCGAGCCAGCAAGTACATTGCAGGGGGTTCGAATATTTTGTGGAACAACGAGGTTCGGTCAGAATTTCTAGATATGGTTCATTTGGGAGGGACGGGAAGCAGGACGAGCTCGAAATTTCAAGGAGCCCTATTAAATGTTCCGTGTCCTCTTGGGAGAACAAGTGATTTTAACTGTGTCGGAGATGTTCAACCGAGGCCTGACTATACCGTTGCGCCGTTATGACATGTATGAGTCTGTATGAGGAGCTGCCAACTGGTGCGCTTTAAGCAACATGGTTGATGTTTTGTCCGTCTCAAATGGGTGAGGGGAACAGGAACAACCAAGCAGTTGTGCTTGTGTATGTTTAATTTTGCAGAGTTTGGATCCTCGCAATTTCACGGTCAATGGGCGTGGTACAATTTCACGGTCAATGATTCACCATCTTTTTCTCAGTCGTATTTGAACTGATTGTTTGGGGCCAGCGTGCAACCATGTCAGCATTACATGAGAATTACATGTCGCCTTCAACAGTGTAGTTCATGCAGAGGACACTTTTGGCGCGACTCCAGCCAAGCCAAAATCCGGATTTGCACACTGTGCCTTCGAGACTGGATCACCCAAAACAAGACATGTTTGGAAGCATCCCCCTCAACGATCCATCAACGCCTCACAGCTTTGATCATGTAGTCCATGTATTCCATGGTCAATGGAAGCCCTGGGTCTGGAACCCCCAAAAACTGTCATTTCCTTTTGGGGACCCCCGTTTGTAGTTCCATTTGTAGTTCCATGTTAATTTACAGAGCCATGATGATCTTCTGACTTTGGACCACGCTGGCAAAGAACGATGTTTTGCGGTTGGAGAGAGACTCCGCCTTTGGTTGCGGGAGCATCTCCAGCTCAGTTGGGCCTGTCCATGTTTTCCCGTTGCTCATGTCCAAGCCACCAACTTTTGTGAGGGGATCAGGACATAGGCCTGAATCGATCACCAGTGCGACTCCGTTGATCTTAATCAGGACGACTTTTTCTGTTGAGCTTTGGATGCGCAGCTAATTTAGCCCACACCCAGGATGGAGGGGAGGCGTTCGTTGTGTGTTTCCAGTGGTCGCCCAGTTTGAACGCTGCTCCGTGGTTGGCGAGCTGCCGACGGGCCCCTGGTCCGTGGTGGCAGTGGACCGCTGGCACGGTCTGGGCGTGCTAGGCCTGGAAGTGGGGAAGGTTGGGTGGAGATTGCAGCATGCCAAAGGGCAGCCCGCGTCCGAAGGCCCAACAAAGACAATTCAGGCCACAGACCTCAGCCACTTTGCAACATGCGCGCAGCTACGTTGAAGCCTTGTCGCGCTTGGCGAGGTTTCAGGGCTGAGCAAACGAACGGCGAGGTGGTGCCCATGTGCCATGTGCCAACAAGCTGCTATGACCCACCCGGAGGCTTCCAGGCACAAGCCACGGGGGGAAGGACTCAATCTAGATGCCATCAGGTAGGATGTTGGGCAACCCCAAATATGCCAAAGCGATTGGCCTGCAACACGCATGGGAATGACGTGCACCAGGATTTGGGTTGGCGTGATGCAAAGCGCAAGGCATGCTATTGAGCGGTTGATGGGACATCAAGACAACCCTGATAGATACCAATGAATGTGGCTGCTACACATGTGGGCAACCTTTTGTTGCTTGTCAAAGGGCAAGCTGCAGGATATTGCTCAGAAATGGCATGGAGGCCATATGGCAAATCAAGACATGAGACATGGCATAGTTCCCTGCATAGATACCCTCGCACATGGTTGTGTAAATCCGCCTGAGGGGCTTGCTGTCAATCCGGACAGGCCTTCATATGTGAGGTCTTTTGATTGCAATGTATACCACAGGGCGCCTCTGATCACACAGTCAATTCAACCTGCAAGACGCGCTCCGTGAAAGACGTTGGAGGCTTCCAGCATCAAACTATCACTGTGTTTGTGAACGTTGCCTTGATTTACACCATCTGGCAAATGTCCAATCGTCTCATCATCGGGACGTGGTAGGACCGCGCGCGTCATTGTTGACCGCACCCTGCGAGGTGAGAGGTGTCAATCCAACGAGCAAGCCAACTGACATCTGAGATACGTGTGTTCTTCCGGGTCTCTCGACGGATGTAAAGAAAGAAACGGACACCTGCTGGTTTTAGAGTTTCATGTGTGCTGTTTGTTTGATTGGATACCTTTTGTTTTCACTGGATATCCCTCAGGAAACGTAAGCCAAGGAGGCAGCCCATGAAGTCGCAGTGGCACTCGACATTTCCAGAGGGATCCAGACAATGTGTGCGACAGGGGTTGATTCCTCCTTCTGTCTTTGCAAAAGCCAGGCATTCATGGAATGGGGAAACTCACTAGGGGTAACTAGGGGAACTGGCTTTTGCAGAGATTGATTTATTTAGGGGAAACGCAGATTGAAATTGAATGAAATTTCTTATTTCGGATTTTCTTGCCAAGCAAATTTAGTGAAATGGGGAACTTACTCCTAGACATTTTCCAAGCGGCGAAGGCTGGTCTCCCCTGGCGGCTTTGCGGCGAGCGCTCGCTGCATCGCCAGAGACCAGTGCCCGGGCAAGAGGTTTGGGGCGAGTTCGCCTGGCCGCGTTCGTTGCCATCCAAGGGCTTGAGCTTCCATTCGTTTTGGACAGCGTTTTAGTGACTCACGCTTTTTGGATAGGCTTGTGTTGCCTTTGGGGTTCTCAAAAGCCAATGACTTGCTTCAACGTAAGGGCTCACCAGGCCAAACCCTCAAATCAAGGGCACTGCTTTTCCTTTCCCACTGCAATTCCGAGTTCCCAATTTTCACTGCCCCAGGTTTCAAACTCGCTTTTCCGTGCCCACCCCCAATTTTCACCCCAAGAGTTCCCAATCTTGCCGGTGCTCAGGTTAAATGACCCTTTTCCACAATCCTTTGTGGTTTCTTTTTAGGGGACCAATCCCTGGGTTCATTCCAACTCATTCCCTGTCGCACCAAGAAGGCCGCGCGAGTCGCGAATCGCGAGTCGCGGCTAGGCGTGGTTCCCTCGCGGCTTCGGGTGCACGTGGCCCTGGCAGACGCCTCCCTGGCGGCAGAGGGCTTCGACCTGTCCGCCATGGACCGTGGAACCGGTCGGGTCAGAAGGTGGCCCGGAGTCTCCCCGGGAACGAGGCATCCCCACCTGAAAAATGGCAGCTTGGGGAGGGGGGTGACCCCTGGAAGCCTAGTTCTGCTTGAAATGTCGTTCCCCCTTGCAGGTAAATGGAAGTGGGGGACCCCCATCCTCCCTCACCCTTAAGGTTTGGGGGATAACAAGGCGTCATGGTCCCCATGCAAACTGTGCTAGTTCTGACGAGCTCAACTTAGTGTCAAGTAAGCTCACCTGTGAGGAAGGTTTGCTACTGACGCATTCTTGCAATCAGGTTGGTGAAAGAATACAGCAATTTCGTAGTGAAATTGGACGTGCAGACTAGGAACTGGATGACGTCCTGAGCAATTTCCATAGCGATTTGACAAAGGGTTTCCAAGGTGATTTGCAATCTTGGCCCACTTAGATCGTGACTTACAATTCACCCGGCCTGAACCCATATCGACCCCCCCACTTGCCCCCCACTTGTGCCTTGGTCAGACACATTTTCGGCTTGTGGGGATCGTCATGGACCCCTGAGTGAGGAATTTAGACCATGGAAAGGGTTCTTGAGCCGAGGGCAGCTACGTTGACCCAACAGGAAATGTGAATTTCGGTCAACTCAGTAGGATAAGGTCAACTTGGGCGGGAAGTACGGGTGGACCACTCACCTCCAAAATCGGCAGACATTGCGTGACTTTCCTGTGTCCATGGCAACAGCATGTTTTTGCCATGCCGCGAATTCGGTGTATTTTCTAGGGCATGTTTGGAGTCGATGCCTGTCGGGTCTATGATTGGAGTCGATCCCTGCATTGCCTTCAGTTGGTGTAGATATGTGTTTATTCCCCCTACACGAAGCCACGGAATTTTTCGTGACTCCCTATTTAGGTTTGTGCTGGAGTCCAGTGGGTTCCGCCAAGTTGTTGTGTGTGGTTCCCCGGCAGGTTTCCCTCCCATTTCAACGCACAAAGTTGCTCCAATCCCCTGTTGGATGCTTTTCAAATGGACAGCTAAAAAGGGGAACCGAGCTATCACCGCGAACCAACTGAGTCGGTGAACGTGGGATGCTTAGATAACCAGATGATTGTTTTTTGCCGAGGCTTGGGACACACTCTGGGGTTTGCCACCCTTGCAATACTTCTAGCGGATCCCGTCATTTGCCCAAAACTTTGGGAAAACGCGTGTAGGGTTCATGCACGCTAAAGGGGTCACTGGCCGAACCCTGGCTCCCTTTCTCCTTTCAAATCACCCATTGACAAAAGTGACCGCCGTGAACATTGAGGTGGAACCCCAAAGAACGTCCCTCAAGCGAGGTCCTTTTCCAAGTTTTTTTAAGTTTCCGTGCCATAGGCTTCGCGAGCATTCCCTTCAGCAAACATCACAACCCATGGCTGCCGTTGAAACTGCCAGGGTGAGTTTGGGACTGCAAGCACTGGTAAATTTGGGCATTGTTATTTGAGGGTATTTTTTTGGTAGGTTTAAAGGGAGTTTAGAAGGACACACCCAGCATTTGAGTGATTTTAATTTCCTGGGAGATGTCCATGAGTTCCAATGGGTGGGTTCCTGTAGGCGTCCCGTTAACACAAATACATTGTTTGGCAGCTCCCCGTGATTTCCGAATGGCTTCTCCTTAAAAACAGCCCAAATATATATATATATATATATATATATATATACACATATATATATATATACATATGTATCCCTGAGAATTAATGCATGCAAATAGGTCAGGGTTGGCAATGCATGACCACGGACGGGGCGTGCGTTTGAATGCATGCTCAGGGAACATGCATTGTCGGAAATCGGGCCTTGAGTTGTCGGAAGCCGGGCTTGCATTGCTGGAAAATCGGTTTGCATATGCAAAGTCCTCCAGCATCTTTTATTTGCTAGCTTAATCCTACAGCGTTCTCAGCAACCCATCCCGCTCTAAGAAGGGAGAATATCTAAGAAGGAAGAATATCTATTGTCGCCCTTAAAAAATGACTTGCAGCTTATGCCTGCACCCTTGCTGAAGATCGAGGAACTGGTTTGGTTGCGGGCAAAGGCGCAAGTAGCAAAACTTAAGCTTTTCTGGGACGCATCGACAACTTAATGTTCTACATCAAGGGGGCGGGGCAAACATCAGACCTTAAGGCTTTCCCTCGGATTTTGTTCTTCATATGAGGTGGAAGAAAGCAAATATCAGATTTTGGGGTTATCCGGGGAACACATCAGCTGCAGCTAGTGGGGGGGGGTTAACTTGCAACCATCAGATCTTCCTGGCAGACATTCGTAACGGGGGCAATGCCACACCTCACTCGCATTTCTTGCCAAGTGTGGGGTATGGGTTACGAAGGGGGGCAAGATATCAATAGCTGCCTTCCATCATTGCAGACACACACACATTGTCTTGTGCTGCGCCAAGCTAAGATGGGGAGAAAACTGGGAACGCAAGGGGCAGGAAGGGCTGCGTGGAGATGTTCAAAGCTACGCTTGTCGCACGGATATGAGAGGCCCAAGTGGTACAACCAATGCAGCAATGTGCTTGCTACACCTTGTGTGTTGCTGGTTGGCGCCCGCTATTTCAACATGCCGCGGCTGTGCGGCGGTCTGAGGCATCAATTGCCAAAATTCGGGCATCTACTCGCAAACGCATGGCCCGAATGAGAGCGCAACAAAAGCCAAAGAAGACCAAGATCAACAGGGGCAACTACTACTATAATTATCAACACGCATTATACCGCGAGAAGATGTTTGAAGAACACTCTGCTTCGCCCGGACGACTGTGCACCAAAAAGAAGTGCACGGCGAGGCATACGTTTTTCCAACTTACCAAAGTTGGGCGGCCTTCTGCGCTATTGCTGGCCAAAGGCGGTGTCCTGTGAAGGCGCGCGACGCTTAGCAGCGTTTTGTTTTGCGAGCTTTCGATAGCTAAATTTAGAAAGCAAGACCGCCCTTTGTATGCGAAAGCCGGCAAAAACTTTACTCGCAATAACGCTAGATCGATTTTGCTGGCAACCGCTACGCTTTGTAGCAGACGCTGCGGAGTCTAGATCGTACCGGAAGGCGTTGCAAGAGTGGAGCGCGGAATGTGGAGACTGGAGCGATGTGACCATACACGTTGGCGTCACTGGGCTGGCTTTCCAACGCGTGTTTATATGTAGAAGCTTCCCTGAAGCAAAACACATCCTATCTCTTGATGACGGCGCTGAGCGGCTTCAATTCTGCAAGGAAGTCCGAGGAAGACACGTCATTCGCAATTCAGACGGTGGCTTATTGCGCGCTTTTGTGGCGCTTTGCGACACAGAGACGGCGTTCATATTTGGGCCTAATTGCTCGACGAAGGAGCACTTTTTTTCACACCCTTGGAGGTTCTCTCGATGCAACGGGTTGGTGGCAGATTGCTACGTAAAGCGGCAGTCGGCCAAATTTCATCCCGGGAGAAACCAGGAACACAGCGTTCTCCACTTTGTCTCCGACAAGGTCCTTCTGCGTCTGCAAATGGTTCGCGTGCTTACTGCTTACTGCAAGAGCAAAGGCGGGCTCAATGCGTCCGGCTGCCGGCGACAGCTATTACATCAAGCAGCCACAAGGCTAACGTGCACGCCGATCAGCTCGCTGCGTGGGTGTTGAAACGAATTCGAGGTTGACGCGTCGAGCGAGCCGGCAGGTACTCGACGGAACCCCAAGCAAGTGAAATGTATGATCTGACCAAAAGCTTTGTGAGCGCCTCTGAGCGGCTGGCAGTTTTGGGGTTGCGCGCAGATGTGCGGGGGTGGAAAATCCCCCGAGCTCCATACTTGTGTTCATTTGGGCGAAGACATGCTGTCTTCCCGCGTGAACTGTCGCTTTTTTCATTGTTTTCGAGATGTAGATAGCCAAAAGGCTGGTCTCCGCCGGTTCACAAGGCCTTGTGCGAGTGGGTCCTGACCTGGTGGCAGCTCAGACTGCAGGAGTGGAGGAAGCATGAGAGAAATATCGGAGCTATTTGCCGCAGGCTTTCCCGGCATGCTTTGAGTGCCCTTTTTTGTCGAACATCGGATCCTGTTAATGCCTGCAAATGTTGCTATCACTTTGAAGAATCGGAGAAATGTGGTCGTTCTGGGCTAACGTTCGTTAATGAACTGATTGTCAGCGTATATATAGACAACTATATATATATACACAAGTATATATATATATATATATATTCATACAAATATACATATATATATATATAAATATTTATATATATATACAATACACCCTTGCTGACCTTTGCCGGTGGTCCAAACATAGATGTATTTTCGGCGATCCGTTCGCGTTGCCTTCCAGGACCGGAACTTCCGCTTGGCACAGCCGCTGAAGGCAGCTCTCCGATTCTATGGATTAAAACACAGCTCTGGACATTCTGTGGACGAAACCCTGCAGCTCCATGGTTTAATGTTAGCCCCATATTATTGAACACCAGTTTTAGGGGGTGTCCCTGGTCTTTGTGGGGAATCATTCGGGCACCCTCTACACTGGGATTGATTAATATGGCAACATTACCCACAGAATTCCCAAGCAATATATATATATATATATATATGTCAATAGTCTATATAGTAAGCCTTGCCTGTAGCAGTAACTCTTTACCACCAATTTACCTCAAATTTCCAACCATTTTGGTGCAATTTACCCCCAATTGTGTCGGTAATTTACCCCCAATTTTGTGGGCAATTGGTTATTTACCCCCAATTTGGCTGGCTATTTATTTGAATTTTGTGGGTAGTTTACCACCAATTTTGTTGCTCAATTTTGTCGGTAATTTACCCCCAATTTTGTGGGTATTATTTGCCCCGAATTTTGTCGGTAATTTACCCCCCTATTTGTGGGTAATTTACCACCAATTTTGAGGTAATTTACACCAAGTTTGGGACTCGTTATTAACCCCCAATTTAGGAAATTGGGGGTGAATAACGAATCCAAAGATTGGGGGTAAATCAGGTTTCCCAACGGTATACGAAGATGTACCCCCAATTTTTGGTCGTTATTTAATTTCCAAAATTGGGGGGTAATAACGAGTCCCAAACTTGGGGTACATTCCCTCAAAATTGGGGGTAAATTACCATCAAATTGGGGGTAAACTACCCACAAAATTGGTGGTAAATTACCCGCACCATTGGGACAAAATTGGGGGGTAAATAGCCAACAAAATTGGGGGTAAACTACCCACAAATTGGGGGTAAATTACTCCCAACATTTCTCCCAAATTATTCCCAATTTGCGAAATTCCGTCTTTATGTCCCACGATATACACACAATTTCCCCTTAGTTTGCTCACAATTTACCGCCAGTTTCGGGGTGAACGTTCCGCAAAATTAGGGTAAATGTTGCCGAGTCGGTAAGCCTGTACAGCCCCTCCTCGCCCGCGTAAAGAAGGCATGCAATTTATTGATAGAGGCAAGCCCTAATCTATATATGTATCTCACGTTTACCCTCATGGGTCAAATTTTGGTATGTATAACCATGGATTGTGGGATTTTTCCCTTTTTGGCTGCGATCAACGGAAGTGCTGGCCCCGTGTTTCTGGCTTATTTTGCCAACCATCGGACATGAGGGTACGCTTTTGTTATGATTTTGGTGCCTCTTGGAGACTCACCCATTTGTGCATGTGTCAAATGGGCGGCGGGCCTCAACATGTTGTCCTTTGCGTTTCCTTGTAGCCTCAAAAGACACAACCCATGAGAATCAAAAGGAAGTCCAGCCACCCAAATGAGGAACCAAATTGGTCCAAATCGCCATGAAGGCCACCTCGAAATCTAGGTCCCCCAGTAGTGCCCTTGTACCCTTTTTTTGGGGAGAGTTTCCTATCAAAATAGACTACAGAGCAGAAAAACATGGTACCATTATTCTAACCTTTCTGCTATCTGCTAGAGGACCTAGAAATGGTTTCCAACTTCTTCAATGGCGACGCCTTCTGCTTTCCCTAGGTGGCCGGGCCTGCGTCCCACGCCACCGCGCTGCAGCCGAAGCTGCTAACGGAGCTCTTGCCGGCCTTCGACGTCGACGCTCGGATCCGAAAACTTCGAGTCGCTCTTGTCGGCGCACCCACAGCGAAAGGGCGCCCTCCAAAAAAAACCTAGGGGACGGGGTTCCAAGCAGGTTTCTTGGTGACAACTGACAACTCTATGGCTTCAGGAACGGGGATGGGGGAAATGCACCCCCTAAGGGTCATGACCCCTCCAATGCAGGACCCTCCAATGGAGAACCCCGACTTGTCAAAGGCCCTCAACAACAACCCATTTGGAGGGCCCAAAAGCAGTCGCGACCCTTAGGGCTCCACAAAAACGCGGGGAAAGGGGGTTCCAAGGGGGTTCCTTGGTGACAACTCTATGTGGCTTCAGGAAGATCTGACACAATTCCCTTGCAGGCTAGACGGGGAGGACTAAACCATGGGGAAATTGCGCCATCGCAAGCGTACGGCGCACATGGAAGGGGGCGAAAGTCGGGGAAGGCAAGAAGGTTTGCAATCAAGGTTCTTTCCCAAAGAGGTCGGTGACAGTTACTCTTTGAAAATCAGGGCCTCAATGAATGTTCAGAATGGGGTTGTGTGGCATTTCAAGCGCAAAAGCATCCTGAACACTGTGATCTTCATTTTGCCCCATACATTTAACCAAGGACATATCGTGGAGCTGTTAGAATTTCTAAAGCGCCTCTACCGGACACCAAGGGTTTTCGGTTGGGATTTTTTTGGGGAAGCTTCAGGACCTCTCCCAACTCCCAGAGCTGGACACCGGAAGTCTCAGCTTCCAACTGGGCGGCGGCAGCGCCAGCTGCGCGGTGCTGGAGTGCTCTTTGGAGATGCCGCGCCTCGACAAGACGAAGCGACACGTTGGCCGGTTTGGGTTTCTCGCGTTTTCGGAGTGGTCCAAGGGCAAAACATGTTGAATGTTCATTTTTGGTGTTTGGTCCCGTGCATTTTTGGAACCCGAAGCAAAGAACATCGACTTTTCTTGTCGCACAATGTTTGCCCTCGCTCTCCCTACATTGCTGCAGCGGCTGACAAGTGAACAGTCCCGCCAACAAGGACATTTATCATCCAGCACCCCCCACATTTATGCTATGATAGTCAGAAGAAAGAAAAGCTTTCGAACGTTCTACTATTGTGTTCGCTCAGCTGTGGCTGGTACCATAGATATGTTTGGGCAACCCACGAGGGCAGCTATTGGCTTTTCTTGCCACCAATTGTGCAACAAGCAGTATCCTTGGCTTTTATATTTGTCCAGGCCCCATATTGACAACCGTCCTTGAGCAACACAGTTACGCCTTATAGCGACAAATATAGCATGGGGCTTAGCAATCCGCCTTTGGGGCGCGGCTGGAGCGAGGTTTCTCCTTGGGCTCGCTTCGCGTGCGTTGCTTGAAAGACCCGTTGAGAGAGCTCTCTTTGGAGGTCAAACCGTTTTTTTTCTTCAAAAGATAGGGGCTGTGAAGCCGGGAGCCAGCCATGCAAAGCCACGAAGAGCGAGTGGGGCCTTGTAACTGCTGTGATTTGCTGCGCAAGGATTCTGGAGGCGGGTCACCGCTGCAGAATTGCCAAGCACCAAGACGTTGGCACGCCGACTGGCGCGTCAACTTTATGTTGCAGGCTACAATTGCCTGAGGGTCAATCCTTTCGGTACCTACCTAGGGCTTCAAGAACCTGTCAAAATGTCGTACCCTGACTAAAACATCGTGTTTTTTTGTAGGTATGACATTTTCATCGGTTTTTGAGGCTCCTGGTACCGTGCATTTCATGGGGCTTTGAGGCTGTTGTCCCGGAGGTCTTTCTTCAGAGCTGCGCTGTCGCAAAGTCTTAAGCGGCAAGCGTGTCATGTCCTCGGCATCGTGCGTGCGGCTGAGAGTCTGGAGCGCGCCGGACGAATAGATTTTGGGCGAGACTTGCCCTTGTGCCACCTGTGAATGAGCCATGGCGCCTTCAGAATGGAAGCGGCTTTCTCCACCTGGCAGTTAGGTGAGACCGCTTACCAGTTCAAAAGTCTGGAAACACTTGACAGTTGCCCCGGGCTTGCGTCCGTGAAGGCGATTGCAATTGCCAACGTTGCCTCAGGCTACGGATCGGCTCAGAAACGCGCAAACAAATCTAAGCGCATTCAAATAGAAGCACCTGGAGCGTCAAACCCACGAATTCAACAAACAAGTCTCTACAATCTGCAAATCGGGAAGCGCCTGTATTGAGCTGCGCATCAACCATGCCACAAAGAAGCGCAGCGAATTGGAGGGCGTTCTGTTTAAAGCAGCCAACCAGCGTGCCGATATACTTCTTACGGCGGTTTTTTGTGGGGCAGGGTTGCCCTTTCGCCGCTTGGCAAACGTGGTTCTTGATAAATCCTACACATACAAGTGGGCCATCTGGTCTTCTCTTTCAGTGCTGTCGTGGTGAGGGTTCAGCCTGGAAATGTTCCGTGCCCAAACCCGATTCGAGCAAAGTGTCCAAAGCCTCACCTCTGGTGCGTGAATCCGAATGAGAGCCCGCCCCAACTAAAAGCACCGCCCAATTTTGAGAAATGTGGCGGCTTGCAGTCTTTGTGCATTTTCCTCTACACACCTAGGTTCCCCTACTAAAACAGACTACAGAAGAAAAGTGGGGACCCAACTTCTTCTAACCTCTCAAAACTGGAGGACCTAGACACCTTTGTTGGGCCCCAAAGCTCCCAGCCGACCTTCCAGCGACGGCTGAGACATCGGCTCGAGGTCCGGAGCCAGCAGCAGCCTGCGCTTCGCCCAGTGGCTGCCCGGAGGTGTCCTGGGGCCCACGGCGGCTGTCCAGGTGCCTTGGAGTGGCTTGGGGGTGGGGGGGGGGGTGGGGGGTGGGGTGGGAGGGGTGGGGGGGGGTGGTGGCTGCATTGTTTGGTTTGTTAGACAATCCAAGGGGTAGGAGTGGGAGGCGGTTGGCTGAAACAATGTGAGATGTGCAGGTTCATGGCCTAAATCATCCATCGAACACGTACAATCACGGAACCTCTATCTACAGTGAATCTACAGTATTGCAGCGCGTGCGCACACGCGCGTATATGTGTGTATATAGTGTATTTTAATCCGCAGCCAACACCCAGCATCTTGCAACTCGCAACTCGCAGGTGAGACGGAACGACTGCCGCATCTGGGTGGAGTGCGACTCCACGGTACCTTGACTGCACACCCGGCCATGTCAGACATCCCTGAGGGGCACTGTAGGCCGATGTAACCTTTGGGACCTGTGTTTCAAAAGGGGAGGTAGAGGGAAAACATCCATGTTGAGGGTTCTTTTGTTTGGATTCAATCACAGCATCAATGTTCATACATGAATCGGCCGTCATTTTGCGATAGTTCAGAGCATATAACCGTGCAAACGGAGGTTCATACCAGAGCTTCAACTATAGATGACGATACGCATTTGAGCCACAGTAGATACTTAGGCAGTTGCAGCTCAATTTGTCAATAGGGAAGAGTCCCAACGATGATATGGTGGTAGATCCCTGGAATTCCAGGCGTTCATGACTCATTCGAGTTCACTGACCCGTGTTGTCAGTTGTTTACAACAAACAATAATAACAAACAAAAGCTAGCAACACACGTCACACAACTGTTGCAACAAACAATAATAACAACCGTGCAACAAACGTCAATTGACAACAGCAATAACAGCAACAACTGCAAGCACGAATAATAAGGAACAAACAAGAACGAAAGCCAGACATTGAAAATGACAAGTTGCCAACAAAGCCCGACAAAATCCGACAAACTCCGACAAAATCCGACAAAAACCGACAAACACCGACAAAGACCGACAGAATCAGTCAAAAAACGTCAAAAGCGCAAAACTGGCCCAAGATGACAAAGTCTTTAACAATCTGTTCCCCTACGATCTGTTCCCCAAACAAATTTTGAGGAAAACAGCACGCAGCAAGACGGCCTCTTAGCTATTTTTTCTCAACATGTTGTGTTGTTTTGCCTGAGCCCTCCAATACAAACCAGCTCCGCCAGTCATGTGGTAATGCCAAGCTTTGCCAAGGGAGGGTCGAAACAAAAAAAACATACTATCTGGGTGCACGCGCCCGGAAAGTCATGGACACGTTTCAAGGACTGCCAAGTTGTGTGCCCAACAAGCTGTGAAGCTATACCCGCTGGTTCTTTGGTGCATTTTGCTTGGATGTTAGGACTTTAACTTTTTGCCATGGGTGTTCCATTAAACCACCAAAAGTTAAGCTTTTCGAAGGAAAGCAGAAAGCAACCGAGGGTTAACAATGTACATGAGCGGCAGCGGAGGTATGATTGTTTTGGGGCCTAAAGGGGTACGACTCGGGTGAGGTGCATGACAGCCCTTGAAAGTCGTCGTGTTCTTCCCAACTGAAGCACACCGTCCAGAGAACGGCTTCAAGCACATCTGGTTGTGTGACATTGGTTGACTTTGTGGGGTTTCTCAAAATACTGTAGGGATTCCTTAAAATGTTATGTTTCCTTTTGGCTTCCTTTAGAAACTCCCATGTGTGCTGGCTGAAAATAAACTAACACTGACTAAAAAGAGGCGTGGCATGCCTTTTCTTTGGCACCACGCGCTTTCCTCGGATCACATGTGAATGTGTCTCTCAGGTTCGTTATCGGCATCCGCCCTTCGCCTTCATGCACCTTGGCTATTCCAATTCGAACCTAGCCATCCGCCCTCTCCTGGCTTTCGGGTTGGTTTAAAGGGAAGCCAAACGTGAATGCACTCCTTTGTTGGTACTCCTATTTCAAGTTAACACATGCCCACTTGTGGTCTCTAAATTGAACAGGGGTCACTCCCCTTGCCCCACTTCCATTTTAGAGGCGATGGTCCCAACTGTTTGACCTTCCACCTGGACGTGTCAATAGCGAGAGGGACTTCCCTAAGTGATGATCCGCTTCATTTTCCACAAAGGTACACCTTCTTCAAGACCTTGATGCCTATATAAATTGCTACATAAGCCTGTTTTATATTTGTCATTCCCCAAAAGAACCCGCGTAGGGATGGCAAATATCTTTCATTTTGCCAGAACCCTTTTTCAGCACCCACCCCACCGCCACCACCACTGCCCCCGGCCCCCACCGGGCCCCGGCAGCTTCCAGGTCACTGTCTGACTGGTATTTCGAGATGCTCCGGGACGGCGCCAGGCCACGGCTTCTTTTTCCATAGGTTGAGATTCCATGGCCGTGGGTAGTTGGCTGTGGGTCCCATGTGGGGTATCGCCAAAACTTCTTTCGAAACACCCAAGTGGATGGCGGTTCCAGAGAATGCAGAAGGAGAATTGCCCTTGAACGCCAATGAGGCGGGTACATAAAGTTCTAGGGGCTGATTCCAACCATTCTCTTCAACCATCGTTCTTGTCGAAAACCGGATCCGTTTCCCTGGGTTTCCGGAGGTTTCCTAGAAATAAGGATCCCTGGAAACAATGGAAATGGAAGGTAGCACTAGAATTTTAACATCTCCAAATGGCTTAAAAGGGAAATCCAGGGAGCAACACCCACCATGTTTGGGGGGTCTCCCAAGCAGAAAACGTACCCAACTACGAGAATTGTACTAAGCCTACACATTGTAGCTGTTGAAGTTGTTTGGTCGAAGAACCGGCCCTGAGTTGGTTTGCGATCCCTGCATTCTGGTGGGTTCTGGGACAAATGGTCAAAGAGGACTTTCCTTTGCCTTGGGTCGCTCAACTATCTTGGACCTCCGCAAGCATTTCCATTTTCACAGGAACCATCGCAGAACAGCTCTGGCACCTCCCAACAGTTGAACATCGGGACCCAAGGGGGTTTCCAAGAAAAGCTCGCTCTAAAAATGACCATTGTTATTCTGGAGTGTAGTAACTTGTCAGGCAGAATATGTGTTGAAATGGTAACTGCGGTGTCTCATTCGCCTTGCTTTTGTTTGCCTATCCTTCAACAAAAACGTGGTTGGGCAGCTAGAAGATGCAAGTGTCCCCATCTACAATGTAGCATTCGCACTGTTCGCAGGCAAGAGAAGCACTCAGTGAAACAACTTGTCATGGCTCCTGACTAGATATGTTTTCACGAGCAGTTTGTGATCAAACTGTTAAACCAGCACCTTTGCTTCTGAACTACCCTTAAGGCTGCCATAGCAGTCCTAGTTCTGGTTGTGCTTTTTCCCCCCTATCTCTTGGGGACACCATGTGGAGCCCCTTCAAACCAATCTGAAAAAGGTGCCCTCACAAAATCACAGACCCATGCAGTGCATCCGTTTGATTCTGCGCAGGCATCAGCTTTACGAGCGCGCGCTGCAAGTAGAGATCGCCAAAGTCAAGGTGCCTTCGGACGGATTTCGTCCCTCCCAGACCTGGATGATTTTGTAGGGAAACCGAGCCCAAGTCCCTTGGGCAGATGCCGGACTCGGATGAATTTCTAGGGAAACCGGGAAGGGCCCAAGGGTTCTGGATTGAAACGGGCCGCAAAAGGGCAATGGTGAGCTTGCAAGGGATCATTTGTGGTTTCCCTTGCCACAGGAATTCTGCTTCTTGCAGGGATCCCTTTGGAAGAATCAAGCATTTTTGTTTCATGTTGACATTGAAGGGTTGTCCTTTGACTGGTCTGGTGCAATGATTGGGCGGGAAATACCAGGACTCACGACCCGTGTCTCCTATTGCTTGACCGGTCCCAGACGTATTGGGCTTCATGCTCGAAAGGCCCAATTTATGTGTAGTCATTAGGCATCACTGCCACTACGTCCCCCAGTAGTGCCCTTTTACCGATTCTTTTTTGGTTGGGAGGGTTCCCCTGCTACAAGAGACTACAGAAAAACGGGTACCCTGTTTCTAACCTCTCTACTGGAGGACCTAGGCCAGCAAAAGACCATGTTCGTTTGATCCAACGGTTTTTCCTTGATGTGGTCGATGGTCCGGTTTGTACGGCACTAGCGACAGTCACCTATGAAACGCCCGGCATTATGTGTCAAACTGGGTCCCAGACCTGAGGGGACCGAGCCAAAGGCTTTGCCCAAGACTTGGGCCGGGAGATTCCCTTCAAGGAAGCTGGAAAAGGGGGGGGAGAGGATTTTGCCCCCCTTTTTGGAGTCAATATCAAGTTCGAATGGAGAGAACCTCATCCAATTGGTGAGGCCCCAGGAGACAAACCCACAGTGTTACACTTTCCACGCGTGCGCTTCACCCAAATCACTTCCGCAGGAAACCTCCGAGCAGTGCGCGGTGCTGGATGTGGGTAGCGGAGATGGCGCCATGGTTTTGTTTGGATGGAAGATCCCAAATTCAACTTGGTGGAATACTAAAGGCAAGCAACAAATTGAACTATGCTCAGGGCTTTTGTCTCTGTCAGTTTGTGTGGGGGGGGGGCAAGAAATTGGCGCCCCAGGGACATCTCTGTTTTTGGGACAAAGAGGCTTTGTCACTGTCAGACGCATAGACCAATTTGGGTGTCTGAAATGGGGGACCTCTGTTGGCTTTCCTTTTGGGTACCTGGAACACCATTGGGGTCCCAAGGTCAGGAATTGAGTGCCCACATTTGCAAGTTGAGCTTTAGGCGGTATTTCAAGGGAAACCAAAAGGACAGCAACCACGTTGGGGGACCATTTCGCGAAAGCCTCATCTCCCCAAGCAAACAGACCTGCCCAATTGTTGCAAGGGAACTTAGATGCCCGAGTTGGCTGTGGGTCCCATGTATCTCCCAAGCTTGGAAAAAGCACGCCCAATGTGGTGTTTTTCTGTTCTTTTTCTTCCAAACCATGGACACTTAGCAGGAGATGAAGCCCAGTTCCGTTTCGGACATTCCCAATCAGCGGGTCGCCACTCGGAGCTGAGGCATCCTCTCGTTGATGGCTTTGCGGGCGGGGGCCACCAAGGGGCTGGGCGCCTCGGCCAACGGTGTGCGGGAATGCGGGAAGCTCCGGTTCGTTTGAGCCCAAGGCAGACCTAGACCCAGGGGTTCCCTTTTGGGGCTGAGGTTGTTTTGGAGTAGTCAAAGCAGGGAACATCCACCAAGTCGATCTTGGGGTAGCCCAAGGGAAATTGAGGGAACTTTCGCGATAGAATCAACCATGTTGGCATCAACAAGGGGTATGTTCAGGCCCAGCGGGATTGTCGTGACTGCTAAAACTGGTTTGGAACCCATCCCCGGTTACATACATATGTGTGTGTGTGTCGAGGTGCCACAGGGGTTGTGCCCTTTCTCTGTCTTTTCAATCTGGAAGATTGTGAGGCGAGAGCCATAGTTTCAACCACTTGTTGCGCAATGTAGGGAACCTTCCTGTCCCAAAGGATTGTCTGTTTATCTCCGGGTCCCACAGAAATTGGCTCTGGTCGGATTTCAAGTTGTCCTTTGGTTTCAAGTCGGGAAATTCGAGTCGACAGGCGCAAAACTTGTGGGTAGTTTCAAGTTCCAGGTGGTCTGTCTTTCAATAGCGGAACCTCCGCTCGACCTTGGCGATGGGACCAGGTTGCCTTTTTGGCTATGTACCCTGTTCAAGCAGTTTTCTTCTTGCTTCGTCCGCTTGGTTTCAACAAAATCAGCCAAAGCTTACATTTGCTTAAGGGTACGTTGCATTTTCCATCGTTGGCTTTAAGGGGAATCTGTGATTAGTCTATGACTGCTGGACATATGTGGAAGATCAAAGTGTTCTCATTCCTTTGAAAGGCAGATGGGGAATGAGCCGCACGCGACTCCAAATTGGTACCGGGTATGTTGCAGCATGAACATTTAACGCCTCTGTTTGATGTCGAGGTTGACAGGTGCCCAGCGGACTGTGCCGGTGGCTTAGTTCCCCGAAGCGCGGCTGCGCTCCCTCGTCATTTTCGTCGGGCATTGCCATGGGGCGTGTGCGCAATCTGACTGGCGAGGACGTGCTGACGGAAGCAGAGTTCGCGGCGTGGTGGGAGGAGCACCTGCGAAGCGGCAGCTTCGTGGATGCCCTGCGTCGCCATGTGGCAGGACGGATGCGGATCAGGAATTTCCGGCGGCTGGTGTTGAGCTGCAGGGATCAGGTGCTGGGAGCGGAGAGCCCATGGCTGGATGCAGAGCTGGTGGTGGTGGTTCAAGCTTACAGCAGTGGTGGCTATGAGTTGCCACAAGCAGCGCGCGATGGTCAAACGGTGGAGGTGGTGAGCCTTTTGGAGAGGCCCATTGACCCAGACACTGCACCCAGCCGCTTCTTCCGGCTACACACAAAAACAGCCTTGCATCTCGCACTCGCACACGAACTTGGCAGGACAGATGATGTGCGCCGCTTGGTAGCTGGCTCTGACCAGGACAAGGCCGACTCGTGGGCAGCTTTGCATTGGGCTGCCGCAGATGGCCATGAACGCATCGTGCGCTGCTTGGTGGAAGCTGGCGCTGACACAAACAAAGCTGATGTTTTCGGAGAAACACCCATGCATGTTGCCGCGCAATTTGGCAACAAAAGCATCGTGCGCTGCTTGGTGGAGTCTCATGCTGACATGGACAAGTCCAATGTTCTTGGAGAAACACCAATGGGTGTTGCCGCCAAATGTGGGAAGCAAGACATCGTGTGCTGCTTGGTGGAGGCTGGCGCTGACATGGACAAGGCCGATGATGCCGGAGCAACGGCCATGCACTTTGCTGCCATGGGTGGGCACAAGGACATCGTGCGCTGCTTGGTGGAGGCTGGCGCTGACATTGACAAGGCCAATGATGCCAGAGCAACGGCCATGCACTTTGCTGCCATGGGTGGGCACAAGGACATCGTGCGCTGCTTGGTGGAAGCTGGTGCCGACAAGGACAAGGCCAACAATCGTGGAGCAACGGCCATGCACCGTGCAGCAGCACTCGGCCACGAGGACATCGTGTGCTGCTTGGTGGAAGCTGGCGCTGACACGAACAAGCCCAATAATCGTGGAGCAACGGCCGTGCACTTTGCCGCCATGGGTGGACACAAAGACATCGTTTGCTGGTTGGTGGAAGCCGGCGCTGACACGAACACGGTCAATAGCGGCGGATCAACAGCTTTGCACCGTGCTGCCGCAAACGGCCACGAAGAAGTCTGGAGCTGACACGTCCAGGGCCGATAGTTACGGAGCCACGGCCATGCAATTGGCCGCCCGCCAGGGTCACGAAGACATTAGGCGGATGTTGAGGCGTGCGGCGAGCAGGGGCTAATGTCCGCGCCGCCATGAGCAGCGGAGTTTCTCGTTTCGTCGCGCATGGAATCCGGGGGCTGGGGAAGAAAAGCAGCGCAAGCCTTTGCTTGGCTTTGCTTGGCTTTGCCTGCTCCGTCTTCCTCCAACATCCGTGTCGGGCAGTTGATTTTGACAAGTCCAGGGCCCTTTTTTGAACCCGGGCCCCGGCAATCGCTGTCAATGTTTGTCTATGTGCGAACTGTTTTCACCTTGGTTTGCGTTTTGCTTGTGGCCTGTGTTTAGCGAGGTAAGTTGCACAAAACACGAAAAGAAGACGTTGTAGTTACCCGACCTGGGGAGTGATCTGCTGCTCATACACGACGAAATTTGCGGTTCCTTCAGTCGCATGGGGTCTGTTGGGCTTGAGCCCGGAGCTACGTGATCCAGAAAACGGGTTCAACCTCATCTCAGTTGCCCAAAGCGAATCGGCCTGACCTGTTGCTTTTCCCTTCGTTGGCCGAGTTTCGTGGCCCGATTTTCGGTGAACCTTTGGTTCCTGGGTCCGCTACTGGGCGACTGAAGAGTGCAGCTCGGGGACACCTTGAAGGGCCGGAATTCAGATCTCCCTCGCTGGTTCCGGATCCACGAAGAAGTAACCCTGAAAATTGAAATGCGCAAGGGCGCCTTTTTGTTGGAGGACCCTTTTCTGTGGCTCTGGGAAGCCAAAGGGGCAGAGATTTCCATGGGCCGAGAAAAGCCACAAAAGGGTGCGCGGCCCTGGTCGAAATCTCCATTTGGACCCCAAGATTAGGATACGGCGCTTGAAATCTTGCAAGCCAAGCCTGAAAACTGAGACCTTCGGAACTGAGCAAATAAAAATCCCCAAGGTCCAAAAAGGCAATTGAAGCTAGACTTTAACCCAGGTTGAATTGATTTCCCAAGGCAACCCGAGTTGAGGTCCGCCCAACTCAGAAAGAGGAATGCAGGAGCCATTGAACCCATGGCAACGCGAAGTTTCGCAGGGGGATTCCTTAGGTTTCTGAGTTAGAAGTCATCCACCCCAAGGATTCCAGAGCAAGTCAACCTCTAGGGAAAATCATCATGCAACACCTCAAGGCTCTAACGAAAGCCCAGCTGTCCCTACTTTTCAGGCGAAGCATTTCCCCACACCCGAAGGAAGGTGCGCAAAAGCCCTTTCTGTTCAAGTTCCCTCGAAAAGGGTGGCCATTGGTGTCCAAATCTTTGCGGTATGGTTTATGGTTCTTGTTTTGCGTGACTAATGGACATTCAAAAGCCAAAGCTTGCCTGTCTCGAGCTCATGGCCCCATACTTCGGGATTCTCTTGTTTCAGGTTTGTGAATGAGGGCGATGTGGTGCCCCCCCGCAAAAAAAAAAAGAGATCCGAGTGGCAAGTGTACATATATATATATATATATGTTACTTGTGGCAACAGTGAAGCAACCAACAAATGACTGTGCACACATTCCAGAACGAGGCCCAACACTTCATTTGTGTGAACAAGTGGCACAACCAAAATACATAACAGGACTGCAACCTCCTCGAAAAACCCTTGTTTTGTTGGGTATGTTGAAGAAAACAACCTGGCTTTTCATGGCAAAAAAATACCACATTTGTTTGTCGGGGGTTGACATCATACCCAAAAAGCGGGTGTTTGGAGTGGGGGGACTCATGCATCCTGCGGGACTTGCCGAGGCGTGGAGTACGTGTCACAGATCGCCCGCGCTTCTCAGCAGGTCATTGCGGCGAACCGGGTGAAGAACGCCGTGCCAAAGGATGTGCCGCTGGAGATTTGGTGCACAGATGTAAGGCGCATGGTTCTTTTTCTGTTGCTTTCTCATGCTTGTTTTTTTTCCTCCGGGGGGGGGGCAGGAGATTCATATATTCCGAGAAAGCAGGGTTGAAGTGTCGTTGCCGGGGTGATTTCTTTTGGAACTACCTTGGAAAATTTAGCCCACCCAAAGGAGGCTCAAAAGGCCGCAGCGCGGTCCGTTTCAAATTATTTTTCACCTCGAAGAAAGACCCGCTAGCTTCAAAGCTGTTTTAAGGTAAGGGTCCCTGAACAAAGCCCCTTCCCCCGCATGGTTAGTTTCCTTAACTTGTCCAAAACCAAGAACTTCAACCCCTGAGCACTCCCCGCCCCCCCCCCCCCCCCTCCCCAAGAAATAATAATAAAACAAAGCAAAACGAAACGAAGCAAACAAGCTATTACAAGAAAGCAGAACCAACAAAAACGCGCCAAGACACGCCTTTCTTTTTTTTCCTTTTCCCCCACGGTGGTTAGAAATCTCCGCGTAGGGGCGTCAAAGAGATGGCCCTTGCGGAGCGCTTCGATCTGCTGGTCACCGAGTTGATGGATGCCTCTGGGCTCGGGGAGAGCCTCAGCTGGTCGGTGTGGGGTCTCCATGCCTAGGTCCCCCAGCTAGGTGCCCTTTTTTACCGTTTCTTTTTTGGTTGGGAGGGTTCCGCTACTAAAACAGACCACAGAAGAAAACCAAAAGAAAAGCAGGTACCAACTTCTTCTAAGCTCCAAAACTGGAGGACCTAGCTGTGGATGGACGAAATCCTCTTAGGCACCGCCGAAGAAACCCTGGAGTGATTCCCCTGACGCCAACAAACCATGGTTTCCCGTGATTTCAATGTGGTGCAGGAATTCGTCCATCCACAGTATCTGCCATCCAGAGACCAATTCCTTTGGGGTTAAGGTTGGGATGGTCATCCACCAGGTAAGGATCCATGACCATTGGCCCTAGGAGTTGTGTGTTTCTTTTTCAAAGCTGGACCCCCCAAAATGGTGGGTCTTTCTTTGGTTTCCCCTTGAACAACAATCCAATTCCTCCGTTTGGTTGGCTTTCATTCATGGTAGCGAAAAGGACACCGCCCATTTTGTTGGGGCCCTGATTTGGATCTGCGGTCAACTTTGTTTTTGTGCTGTTTGTGACTCTTTTTTTAAGGGGGGGCTGTATTAAATGGAAACTATGTTTGGTGGTGTAAACGAGAATGTGAGTAAATGCGAGATTTGAAGCGAGCAAAAGTGACTATGGGCATTGTTTGTAACGTACCCTTTTAGGATGTTGCAAGGCGAAACTCACTGCATGGGGGTTTCATATCGCTCTTGAAAGCACCCTTGACACATTCAATTTGGGTCCGATTGAAAATAGGAGACCCCCAAGATCTTGTTGGTTTTCCCCAAAACACACCCAAAAAGGTTACCCCGCAAAAGACAGGCCCATAAAGCGACAAAGTCCGTGCTCTCACAAAACGGTCAGAGCAGTACCACCTATGCAAAAGATCAGGATGAAAAGCTGAAGGGGCCTGTCCGTCCTCCTTAGGTGCTTGGCTCTGGTGTTGGTGCGCGGAAGGGATGGAAACCAAGGCAAGGACCAAGCAAACTGCAAAGGTACTGCTAACATTTGCAATTTCTGAATGGGCCATCGCAGTTTGAGTCAAAGTACTTCTAATGATGCGGTCTCATGGAAATGAAAAATGAGTCAAGGGGTAAAAGTACCTCCTGAGGTACTTGAGGTACTTGAGCTTTAGGGTTCGGAAGTGCACTCCATCGAACTATGTGCTTTGGGAATATATCAAAAGCATAGGGACATCTGCAAGTGAGTAGTTTCACGTAAGGTCTCCCATGAAACGATCATCCCCAAAAGGATCCAACTATGTCTGACGCACAGCCATGTTCTTTTCCCACCTACTCAGCCATTCTTCCCCCTTGCCATCCCCAAGCCATTCACAACACACGGAGCTCTCTGCTCGTGAAGCATATGTGCTGTTCCATGTTGCATCTTGTTGTCCTTGTTGGAACCCCAAGGAAAATCGGTGAGGGAACTTGGGTCCCCTGAAATGAATGTGTCACGGGCCAAACAAATTGGCCCCTCTGTTTGCAACCCCAGGAACCTCATCCTGCTCACGGAGAGCTCAAAGCGTCGGCTCTGCAAAGCAGATGCCAAGGCGGATGGCTCGGTCCACTCTAGTGGAAAGAGTCTCATGGGGACTCTCCGACATGGGTTTCGGTCTTGGTTCACTTTTTCAACCTGGTTTTCAAGGGCAAAAGGAAAGCCGGACCCTTGCGAAAGCTCAAACGCAGGGCTCGAACCCCGAAAGCTTGCGGGGAAAGTGGTTGAAGAAGAGCCTGGCGCGAAAGCTCCGCGAAAGATGCTTAAGAAGCAAATTGTTTGATTCGGGACACGAACGCTCGCAATTGATATTCAATCATATCTGGCCCATCTGACTTAATGTGCCGACATACCTTGTATGGAAGGCCACCTACACGCGACATAAGGCGACACGCGAATTGACTGGCCCCTCCCTTTCCTTTCAAGACAAGTATGGGGCGTTTGCCAAAGCCAAATTGGGGGGGGTCTTTTTTCCCCATTGTTTCTTCTTCTTCTTTTGTGTTCTTCTTTTTTTTCTTTTTTCGGGGGCCCGCAACATGGTGATGTTTCTTTCTGGTTTTCCTTTCGGTCACGCCCAACAGCAGCCTCAAACGAGCCAGGTGATCCCTGCAGTGCTGCGCCTAAAGGCGGTGCTTTGCGAGGCCGGGGTAAAAAGTCGCGCGAGACGTCGGGGCGTTTTTTTCGGGTTTTGCGGGTTCCATTCAATGCGACGGAATTCCAACTCAGGGAAACAACAAAAAGAGACTTCCGATTTGGTTTGTGAAGGGGATGGTTGCAAGCAACGGAGAGGCCAGGGTGCAAAGTCGCCTTCGCGTTTTTTGTCGACCTGGGACGACTCCTTTCCTGAGCACCATCAAGCCCCCAGATAAAGGTTACCGGGTTCAGTCGCCCAACAACTGCGCCGCTCTTTAGGTAGACTCATTTAGTGCCACATATCTTTTGATCGTGACTCTTTTGGATGTCCTCTACCAAAATGTTGGGTGAATTGCTTGAATTCACGGGTTGAGAGGTTTCTACGTGAGGTGCCCACCTTTCATGAGCTTGTGGCACGGGGATGCCCTGATTCACTGTCAAGTCCTGAGGGGTCAACTGCTAGATGTCAAGGTCTTGCCAGCTGAAATGGAGCGATTTTTGGGTCATGAGACATATAAGTACTTTACAATAGTGTCCATGGTCGATTGAAATTTAGGACTAAATCTCAACCACACGTACTATCTCCTTTTGGGAGAAGGACTCTTCTTTTGTCTAGGGGCTTCCGGAGGAAGCTTCTAAACCGCGTCGGGGAGGCTAACGAGGACTTGACGAATTGAGATTTCCTTGGGACCTCCTTGAACTGTCCCTCCAAAACTTTGTGTTTTGGGGCCTCAAGATAAAATCAGGTTGGAGAGTCATAGTTTCGGTATTCATGGCTTCAAGTGTCCTCCGAAACTTTGTTTAGCTCAACATAAATTGGAAAAAAAAAGGACCATCCTAGTTTCAGCGTATTGGAACCAGATGGCCCAAGGATTTTTCCGCCGGGGCCAAGACTTTTCCCGGCGAAAGGCCCCAGGCCCCAGAAGGAGCCCGGAGACTCCAAGTGAAGCGCTTGAGGGGGTCTCCGTTTTGATTTGGGTAGCGTCTCCTTTGCGGCCGGATTTTTTTTGTGGGGCACAAATAGGGCAACCGCAAAATGGCTTGCCCTGGTACATGGAAATAAGGGCTCAAACATGTGGTCTGCTAGGGGTTTGACTTTTTTGACCCATACCCATTTGGGTTCCCATTTCATTTGGTGGCAACACTCTAGGTTCTCCTGTTCAGAGAGGTGTAAAGTTGCTTTGTCTAGCATGCCCAACACGTTGACCGACAATTTCAGCCTATAGGCTTTATAGTGAGGGATGAGATCGGACAGGGGATAAGTTTGCGTTTGAAGCAGATCGGACGGGGGATCAGTTTGTGTTTGAAGCTTATCCTATGGGCAACAGTTGATGCGCTGTTGGTGCATCAGGTTGCGTTCAGCTTTGCACATGTGGAGATGGGCCTTTTGCCCAGCGGTCCTCTTGCCACCCCTAGGGTCCCGACGATTTTGGGGATCAAACAAGTTGGGTTGGAAGGGCTTTGAAAAAGGTCGTGTTCTTCATAATGTCATAGGGCCTCGGGTCTACAAAGAGGGCATGACCTTGACATCCATGATTTGTCTTGAGAATCCGACTGAGATGCTCTTTTTTTGGTGCTACGTTTCTTAAGGCTGGCTCAAAGGGAATCTAAAAGGAGAACCGCCCATTGTCTCTTTCTTTGGGTGGGGTCCTATGTTGACATACCAAGGTCCGCCTTCCAGACATCGGTGGTGTCAACATGGACGCGTTTTGGCCCTTCTGGCCTGTGGATCGCACCAGCGACGCGCTCTGGCTGGGTGTGGATTTGGACAAAGGGGAAGGACCGGCTTGTTCACGGGAGGAGAGAAAACTGGTCAGTTTCTGTGCACCCCCTTTCGGTGGCAAATGGGTGTAGACGGCTGTTCTTGTGAAATTATTCGGGAGTCCTTTACATATTCACGATGAAAAATGTGATATTTACCATTATATGGGGCTTCACGTGATACTCAATTCAATAAATACTGCTTTGTTACAATGTGTTGCAAACTCATTTCTTTCTAGATTCATGTGTTTTTTGATATAGACTATCCAATAAACTAACTATTCACTTCATTCTTATTATTTGAAACCTGAGTTTCACGATGATAATTATGTCAACAACATCAACAACATTTACAATATAAATTATCAGATTTGTTTGAAACATGTATATGTGAAAATACCATTGATATTGCTGTTAGTATATTAAATATAGTTGCCCAATATTGCCGCTGTCGGTTCCAAGATTAATTGGGCACCACTCAGCAACTAGCAAACGGAAGCCTTCAAACGGAAGTGATCACGGGTATACGCGTTGCTCACAACAGCATAAACAAGGAGAGGAGTGTCAGAGAAGAGGGGCGCAGAGAGAGCGGTTATCGTTGTCAAGATCAAGCCGCCCCCTTCAGAGAGACAAAAAAGCAGGGACTGTTTGGCCCATCTCCGCCCGCAAGCTCAGTCCAACACAAAAAGTTTCTGTCGTGCGGTGGCACCCCAACACAAGCCTCCCGCAACCTGTTTGGGGAAAGCTATTTTTCAGCTTTGCTTCGGTCTGGAGATCTCGGGTGACTGAACAACTACCAAGTACAGTACTTATATTTGTAAGGAAAGAACGTCCCGCCCTCAATCCTCCCTACACCAGTTGCGCTGGCCTGTTTTGGGATAAGTGCCGCGTTTTTGTTTTTTTTTTTTGAGTCGATCGATTTACAACAAGGGTAATTACCCATGTCAGTGGCTAACACTTCAGAACGTCTTTATTTTTGGATTTTTGCGGAGGATGGGGGAAGTTACAAAGTTTTCAACAAAAAACAGGGAGCTCTCCTCTCATTGTCTCGTCCCCGTTCCAGGTAACAGTATTGCTGAATTGGCCTGGGCTCATGTGCGGCCATTGGCTGTGGATTGTCCTTTGCAGATGAGGTCCACCAGGGTTCTGTGACGGGTTCTGGGGTTGTCCTTCTTGCCATCCTTGGCAAAATCATGTCTACCTCGAAACGCAGTCACACACACACACAGTAGTCCAGCGCATGGGAGTCGAACAGCCAAAAAGGGCAACACCCGGCCGGGTTTCCTCCCATGGAACAGCACTGGTACCATATGAACAGTGACTCCTTGGCACATCTTGACACCCAGGCGAACACCTTCTGCAAAGCCGAGTTCGAGTTCGAAGAGACGTCCCAGTTGAACACTCCAAAAAAATCTCTAGGTTCCACCCCAACTTCCGCTGCCAAGGCCAGAGGTTCCCCCCCTCCCTTCCCAACCCCCAGCGCCCTCGAGGAGACTTCCAGATCCTCACCGAGCCCATTGAGCTCTTCAGCCTGGAGCTGGGGAAGGCGGATTTTGGACGCTCTTTGGATGGTTCTGGAAGCTTTGGTGCATTTTGCCAAGGGATGTTAGGACTTTAACCTTTGCCAACTAGTGGGTTTTCCGTATTAAACCACTAAAAGTTAAGCTTTTAGCAGGGGGGCAGAAAGCAACCGAGCAAGGGTGCCGAGTGGAGGTCCCGACCTGTGCCAAGTATTGAGACCCCCGGGCAGCCCTTGGCCGGCGGGGAAGTGAAGCAATGCTATCCCACTGGCCGGGAGCCAGTGCCTTGAGCACCGAAAGCTCATATGGCCGTGGTTGTCAAAACCAATGATACCCATTGTTGGTTGGTACGTGAATTCACCACCCATTTTAGAACCTATTTTAGTCGGGATTGGGATGTTCACTGGGGGTACGATTTGGATTTTGACCCAAAACTCATATTGCCAGGTTCGCTGCCTGGCCTCATTGGATTTGTAGTAGTTCGGGTTTTTGGACACCTCATGTTGGTAGAGCCAACCGCTCATGATGTCTGCCTTTTTAATGGCGAGCTCGCGTTAGCAAATTCACCATGATGATGGTTCTTTACTTGCGGATCCAGTTCTTGTTTCAGGTTTTGGAAGTTGTGTAAGCAATGCACATGGGTCGGAGCATGCTTTCAGGCGGACGTGGATGCCATCCCCACCAAAGCCAGCTACACTTTCCCCGGCAAAGCGGAGGGCATGGCCAATATGGTGGTTTGGCCGATGCCTGAGCCAGTGAGCAGGGGTTTCAGGGGGGGAACCGAGGGCGCCGCATGTTGGGGCCCCGTCCCTTTTTTCCGAGCCTGTTTTGGTTGGCCTGGTGGTTGAAAACACAGGCGGGATGGAAAAACAGGGTGCTGGGTGTTAAAAGCCGGTCTCCTGGATCAATCGAGGACCCTGGAGCGGTGCTAAATGACAGGCTGTTATGCCGTGTTTTCCCAGACGTGGGCCTGGTGGTCGTTTTCCCTAAGTTGAGACCTCCCTGGACATTTTGAGCATCACTAAACCTGGATCAACATCGAGACATCTTCTCAATCGGATGCAAAAGCTGAGGTGACGGAGACCGGGGAGATGGATTTTTCCAGGATTTGAGTCGTTAAGTGCCAGAGTTCGACGTCATCCGCTAGCAAGGATGGTAAAGCATGAAAGTGTTTTTTATCCCATCCAGCTGGTAGGTTTCCCACTGAGTGTCACTGGTGGCTTCGCAAAAGAGTCAACACCGCGCGGTGTGCCGCTTCGGAGTGTTGAGTGTCAAGTCGAAGACCCTTTAGGAGAGCTTTACAAGGATCCCTTTTCAAGGAGCCCGAGTAGATTTGGTCAGGACTCATCCCGGCAATTTTCCAAGGGGCGCGTTGGCTTTTAGACCGAAGGGGCCCATGCGAGGTGGTTTGAAGCTCAGCTCAGCGAGACCGAGCCTCGGCCAATGAGAAATTTCCGGGCATCGTTGGCTTGGCATTTTTCGGCCTTGGTCTCAGTGCAAAGCCGACTTGTTTTTATGGTTGCCCTGATTGGTTTATTCTCAACCAAGTTATATATATATATACAAATACAATATTTATACGAGGCTTCCAACGGTTAGTATTTGTTTCCAGGTCCATGTGCAGGTGAGCGATAGTTGATTTGAGGTTAACCTGCAGAGCGAGGAACGCTTCAGATCCCACAACAAAGGAAACGCAATGCATGAGCTATAGTTTCAGGTATATCAAGTCATACAAGAAGTGTGTGTGTGTGTGTGTGTGTGTGTGTTAAAGCTTTTGGGATCTTTCCGAACGGATATGTATGATTACATGTGATTACCACACGAAAAAAATGGAGGGCACACAAGATGATTGTATCAGGAGTTCTGCGCAGTAAACTGAGATTTATGGCCGTTCGGCATGAAAGCAAATACCAGCATCATTATGCAGCTAAGTTGATTTAGAGGTGCCCACCTGCCATCCCAACTTTCTGTGATGGACGCTCAATGGGGTGTGTCTCAAAATGGAAGGGGGATCTACAAACATAGGCTTGAGTGTCCTTTCGGTTTCCCTGTAAAGTCTTTAGCACCTCAAAAGGGTGCTGAGCCTCAACCAAAAAACAGTACAAAGTTCCAGGTCCGCTGTTGGTTTGGGATGCGTTTTGGGAACAGCCACGCGGGGTTACAACAGAACGCCTCCGTGACTGAGACACCGCTCTGCGCATGGCCTTTCCATTGCGGATCCAGCATGTGGAGTATCCCGTGCGCGCACGTCTTCCCTCGGGCGAAGCCCTTTATTGAACACAAAGTTGTCCTTCGGAACCATGCCGACAAGACATCCAACAAGCTGCAAACCGCCGTGTTGCTCTATTGCACGCGCTTCTAAGTATAGAACGTGAAGGTGCCAAACTTGCGCACAAGATGCGGCTTGACGCAGGCATTCCAGGCAGCTACCAAAATCGGTACAATGTAGTAGCCAGAGCATACCACTAGAGCTTCAATCTAGAGGCACACACGGAATCAGAGACAGGTAACGACCTACTCCATCATTTCTTTCTTCCCCCGCTCCCACTTCCCATTTTTTTTTGCATTTTCCACTCTCATCACTATTTCATTCACTTCCCACTTTGCTTCCATTTCTTGCGTCATTCCTTCCTTCCATTCACTTTCCAACTTCCCACTTGCCATTTTCCACTCACTCATCATTTCCACTTCCCACTTCCCACTTCCCACCTCCATCATTTCTTCCTTCCATTCACTTCCCAGTTGTTCATTTTCTATAACCCATCTCCCCGCGCTCAGGACCCGTCCGTGGTCTTGACCAATGCGCCCACGGCGTTGGACGGCCGCCACAGCGCCACCTGCTGGGGCCAAGCGGCCGCAGAGCTGCCGACGCACGCGGAGGCCCACCGCAAAACTGGGTCAACGTTGGGTAAAATGATGAGGATAAAAATGCGTGTGTGTATATATATATATATATATATGTATATTCACCAAACCCCCCTGTGGCTTTTTTGTAAGGCCTGAATACGAAAGCATATTCGGTGTTACGGCGCTGTGGTCGCGGAAGACCGCGGAAGGGCGAGCGGAAGTTTCGCGGAAGGTTATGTGTTATCATGGGATGAAGCCCTACTCGTGTTTTACACGAGTGCTGAAAAGTTGTGCTGCTTGAGCTGGGGCGGCTCGTAATTACTCTGCTAGTTGAAAGCTGCGATGTTTTAGCTGGGCTGTCAAAGTCAAGGTGTACTTCATGCGTTGAATAGTACTGAGCTGAGAACGATACCCCGAACGATACCTGCGCGATTCCGAAACGATATCCCGTGGCACGGCCACCCGTCGTTCCTTTCAGCATGAAATGTCGAGTGCGTCCGTTGCTCTTGCTGCTTCCGCTCCCCTTCCCCAAGCTCCGCTCCTATTGCTCAGGCTTTCTGCTTGCGCGCGCAGGCGCCACAGTTGTCGCGGCGTGCCAGCGCTCAAAACGATGCCCAAAACGATGCCAAAACGAAACCCATACGATTGCAGCTGTTGCCTTGCGCCGGGGCTGGCCCACCTGTCATGTCTTTTAGCGTGAAATGTCGCTGGTGTCTTTTTTGCCCGGGGACGCCGCAGTTGTAGCAGCGTGCTGGCGCCCAAAACGATACCCAAAACGATTCCAAGACGAAGCCCCCGGAACTGTGGCTGTCGCCGCGCGCGGGGGGTGGCCAGTTTTTTTATGCAGCGTAGCTTGTCGCTTGTTGCCGCTTTCCTTCCTCCTTTTCTTTCTCCGGTGTTCTGCTGCTCCGCTTCCTACATTTGCTTGTCCTTCTTCCTCCTTTTGCGCAGTCTGCTCTTCGTCCCGTCCTCGCTCCATTCCTAGTCTACTTGTTGCTTTCTGCACTAGCTATTCCTCTTGGCTTGCTTTGCTTTTTCTTTACGGAAACTTACTTGTTCAGACACGTGCCAAAACGTATGGTTTTACCTGCATCGCGGAAGTTCGCGGAAGGGCGAGGCGGAAGGCAATTTTTGGAGCAAGGAATATTGGACAACCCTCAATAAATAGATACATATATGTATATATATATATATATTATATAATATACTAGGTCCCCCAGTAGTGCCCTTTTACCTTTCTTTTGGGAGGGTTCCCCTACTAAATAGACCACAGAAAGAAGTTGGTACCCTTCTAACGTCTCAAATCTGGAGGACCTAGTACATTTGGGTGTGGCTGAAACCTAAAGAGCCAGGGTTGCGCAGGTTTTAGTCTTCGGTTCCATTTACAAAGGTGCTATGTTGGGTTCCAGTATATCAAAATATAGAGGTACACACTAGTTTACTTCTGTACTCATGGCTAAGTTTGGTGTTTTTCAAATACACAATAACCCCATTCTCCCCGAGCTGTTTGAGAAAACTATTTTAGTGGGAAGCAAAAAGTTTAGACTCTTTTTGGCCAATCCACTCAAGAAATGAGGGGTAGCCATGCAACTTCCGTCCTCATGACTAAGTTTTGGACTTTCAAGTACCCAACCCCAGTGTAGATTAGACGTTTAGTCTGTTGTACCGTCTTACATCTTTGCCCTTGCCTGACATGGCAGTAGCAAACATTTGGATCCTGGGTTGGTTGCAATTCGACCAAGAAAAGATGATCGACCGGAACCGGAGAACCCCAACTGCTTGCTCCCACGTCCCAAATTCAAGTTTTGTATCCACATGGGAAGAATAAAGCAGCCCTTGGGGCTTGGAAAGTTGGAAGGGTTTGGCTTTGCGTTCCTTCTCATGTGGAGGTCCGGCGGGGTGGGGGGGGGGGGGGATGGGCGTGAATTTTGGAGGTGCCTCGACTTGGTAAATCATGCTCATGTGCTTTGTTACCACAGGCAAACAAACCGAAAGATGCGCTGAAGCCCAGAAGCAACTCGTCCACCCTGTCTCTCGGCACCTGTCCAGAACCTGCCCAAAGGCCGCCCTAAGACCGGCAAAGCGAGACAAGGACCTGGGACAAAAAGCCTTCGGATGAGGGAATGGTGTCTTTTTTGCGGGTCAAAGATCGTTCATAAATCGGCGAAAGATGCCGCCTTTGTTTATATGGGTAAAGGAGATGACTATACCCGGGGGTCCCCTTTACAGGAGATGGACGGACGGAAATGTGTTACCTTTCCATCCGACAGGTGTCGGTTGGGCAGGGCACCGAGATAGTCATGGAGCTCGCCTTTGGCCCCTTGGCACCTGGCTGGGGCCTTGTTTTTGGGTACCTTCACCTCAAACCACCCGAAGAAACGGTCCCATGTTTAGGTTCAAAGGACAGCCACCATTTTGGGGGGTCCCCTAAAAGCTACACACAGGCCTTTCATATAGTGGCACGCAACAAGTGGTTGTACACCCAATTCAGATCTCAACAACAAATCCAGAGTTTGAGTTGGCAAAGGTCCAAGGGGATTGGTGAAAAGGACACCCCGCCACGGAGAGCAAAGCCCGATCTTGGGATTGAAAAGTCTTGGACAATTCCACTTGGCGATTTTGTTGCACCAAATCCGGAAAACAATAGAAAACCCTATATCCCAGAGAAGGTGGTTGAATATTGGCCGACCATGAGTGTGCCTTTTTCAGGGTTCTCTTTGTGGTCCGTTTCAAAGTTAACGTCAAGGGTCCCCATGTTTTGACAGCGTCTGGTGAGAGTGGCAGAACATCATCCCCTTGAAATCATTGCCTGAAGACATTGTTCTTCAAAGTAAAGGCCTCGCGATAGTCACGGGTTGTGTTGTAAGACAATCTGATGTCAGTGTATCAAAACTATCAAACCCCCTTTTGGCGCGTTGCAACGAGGCAGACCATTTTGAGGAGTTTCGACTCAACGGGGAGGGATCGATCCCTGACGAGTGAGTTCTAACCAGGTTCTGTTACATCCAAAAGGAACCCATTTGTTAGAACAGGGTCACTCAAATGATTCAAAGTTGCCGACAAACAGCAATGCTCGGTGTGGGAACCCGTGTCAAATCTTATCGGGACCTTTTGGAGTCGTGTTTCATATTTGTTTTGGTACCGCTTCGTGAAAGTCCTGTCATTTGGTCAACCTTCCATTGGCCATGGGTGCAGTGAGATCTACCATATAGTGCCTTGGTGTTGGCATGGGTTTCAACGGAAACAACCAAGCAGAAAATTTGGGGATGTTTGCTTCATTCTGAGAACATATCTATACATGTACATACACATATGGGGTCACATGGGGTCGCTGTTTAGAGAGGTGTTGTATTCTACTTGAGCAGCACCCAAAACAAAACCAGTTGGCCACAGTAAGGCATTTCGCTTGGCAGCATGCGGAGGGCAAATCTGGGCAAACACAAGACATTCTCATAGAACAAAAAGTCAACCGGTGGGTCCCCTGCAATTTGGTGGGTCCCCTTCATGTTTTTGCCACTCAGGAGACCACCAGCTCAAGTTCCGGACGCCGTCTGGCGCAGGCTGGAGCCGGCCGTGGTGTTCGGTTCAATTGCGGTCTGACTGCCCTTTTGGAAGTTGACCAGGAACAATTCTGATTTTTTGAACAACTCTTGCTGGCTCACTCACTGGCATCATACCCATTGCAGGTCAAAAGCCAGCTGTAGAGAATCAAGAGAGAATGTGCAAGTGACCAGAATACAGCAGATACTTCAATCTAGTCTTTGTGGGATGCATGCAAAACCATCTCCCGGCTCACATTGGACTGCAGGATAAGCGAGCTGTTGGGTCCAGAGATCCGTATGGGGGTGTCTCAAAAAACAGAGGGACCCCAAAATGATTGGGTTTCCGCTGCCTTTTCCACAAAAAACCTATGTGAAAAAAGTAAAACACCACCATATTTGGGCAGCTGGGCCCATCACCGCTTCTCTCTCTCTCTCTCTCTCTCTCTCTCTCTCTCTCTCTCTCTCTCCCCCTCTTTCGCTCTCAGGGGTGTGTCCATGCGTTTCGCATGTCCACCTGAGCCTCAGAAAACGTGGGCGAAGAAATGAGCTTGGGGCCTTCCCCTTGTCAACAGTCCATTCCCCATTTCTCAGGCAGCGCAAAAGGACACGCACCAGAAGTCCCGAGTAAGGCGACCCGGTGCTTGACAACGCCCCACATGGTGTGGTGTACATTTTTTACCTTTAATCAGAAACGTCGCTGGTCGTTTTTGCTGGGAGATACACATTTGCTGCATAACACTCTGAGATGTGTGGGTCAAGCATGTGGTCGCATATTCCTTAGACTGGCAATCGCTCTTTGTGCCCCCGCGGACCTTTGAGCTACCGGGCAACTGTGCTCTGAGTCTCCATTGCTCTGTGCACAATGTAAAGGGGAGAATACCATCCCCTGCTTTGGGGCTGTCTTTCTTCTGAACTTCGCGACAAACCAGTGACACCTTGACGATGGTTCTGCTCATGACCAGCCAATAGCAGGGCATTCCCAGCTGCGAAACACCCACAAACGCAGAAGCTGCCAAAGGTTACGACCCTGCTCAACAGTGGCAGTCCTTAGACTAATGGTTCATAATTTTTCGTGCCGCCTTTGTACGGCACCAAAATGGAACTTGGTAAGTGGAAACATGGACCAGAACCTGCGTACCCCCTCCTATTTAATTTTGAGCCACACCCAGTTGGTCGTGATTGAGCCGGCATTCTTGGGTGAACCAAGATGGCCGCCTCCGCAACCCCTTTGCCAGCCATGCCTCTGTCGACACGGTTTGGTTCAAGCTTGGCGGTTGGATGTTGACGTGTTTGGACGGTCACCCTAGGAACATGTCAAATGCCCCCTGTCAATGGACCTGAAATACCCCCGTGTATAGTAGATGGTATGAATTGTGAAGGGGCTCTTTCTCCATAACTATATATATATATTACACAGACACGTCCTGTTTCCTTGTTGGATGAACTACCTTTAAGCCGGGGCCATGTCAATGGAGCATTTGATTTCCCAAGGAGTCATATCTCATGACGTACAGCTATCTTCACAACCAGTCACCACTTTGCCAACAGCTTCATTGGGAGTCGTCGATGCAAGTGCCTCACCTCAAGGAATCTGCCTTCCGAAAAGCAAAAAACAAGCGAGCGGCTCAAAAGAAGAGGGCCTAAAACTCAGGACTTCTGTGCCCCAGGCGTATTCTCCGCAAAACAAGGACACCCGGCGCATCAGGTTTGGTCCAACTATCTGGGCGTTGTGTATGCGGGATTAAAATGGTGACAGCATTTGCCTCAAGGGGGACTCATTTGGCTGTGGCTCAAAACCAATGGGATCCCATTTTGGGGTAGGTGAATTCACCACCCATTTTAGTCAGTTTGAGTGGTTGGATTCGGATGTTTACTGGGGGTACGATTTGGATTTTGACCCATTGCCATTCTCAGTTGTTCAGTGGCCCCCTTTTGCCTTTTTTTTTGTGGCTGCCCCACTAAAATGGTCCAAGCCCCAAAAAAGGGTAATCCCTTTTTTTCCAGGGTCACTGAACAACTGAGATCATTTGTCTCCAGGTCCATAGGCACTCGCGGATTCGATTTTCCCGCCGCTCCCAAAAGGCGTGCAGGACCGCTGGGCGCCGCCGCCGCAAGCTGCCGGCTTCTCTGAGGAGTACAAGAAAGTTCTGGAGGCCTGGGAGGTTCTCTGGCGCTCCTTTGGTATCTAAAAGGAATCAGAAGCCAACAGGGGAAAGGGGACCCCTACGCTCTTGCGCACCCTGGGAATGCATACCCAACTGGCTCAACTTGCAAAGAGGTATGGAATGAGGGAACGACCCTAAACCATCCAACTGGTGGCTTCCTGGGGGACCAATTCCTGGGTTCATTGCCTACCTCGCACCAGGCTCTGAGACACACCTTCCCCCATGCATCGACTCATTCCCCACGGTCTCGCAGAGTTGATGGCCGCACTCGCGGCAACTCGGCGGCCGAAGCGGCTCCGCGCCGCACTCGGCGAATTCCAGGGCTTCCCCGCGCGGCAGCGCCGCTTCGCCGAGGAGGCGAAGCGCAGCCCGCCGGGGCTCACGGCCCTCCGCGCCGCCGAGCCGGAGGCAAACCCCCGGGTGGTGTCGGGTGGGAAGCCCGTGGGAGGGAGCCACAGTGACACCCCGGAAGTTGCCCCCTGGGAGGGACTCAAAGCCTAGAAAATGGGGGCGTTGCAACGGGTCCCACCCCCTAAAGAACCAAGGGGGATGTCACTAAGAATGGCAATTGGGTTGGCAAACATGCTGCAAGAGAAACAAGGTGGTTCAACCCTTGGGCCTTGATGAGGTTTGCACAAACATTGGTTGAGGCATGTTTAAATGAGGCGGTCCAACCCTTGGATGTCCAGCGACTTGCAACGACTTGGTCGAAGTAGGCAGTGGTCGAATGGCTGGTTGTGATGATTTACCGCCACTCGCGGCCACTCGCGGCCACACGCTCCGCTTTCGCGGGTACGTCGCTGTCACTTCAAAGAACTGGGAGCGCACTGTTGGAATGTTTCAGCTTTGTGTTCTCGGCAGTTGATTGCGCAAGGATGGAGCGCAACATAGGCGCGGGCGGCCGGGCTCTTTGGTTTTCCCTTTGATCTCCCCCCAAACACCCCCCCCCCCCCCCCCGCCCAACCCCCCTTCCCAACCTCCCCCCCCCACCCACCAACCCACCGTCACCCCACGACCACCCGAGAGCCCCCGCGAGCGAATGTACGCCTCCCGCCTTCCGCTTCTCAGCCGGTGGCGGCGCTGCAGCGCTGCTCCCTGGCGCTGGCGCTCTTCCCCGGGAGCTTCGGCCTGGAGCCGCCGAGTCCGTGTCTCGTGTTGGCTTTGGTGCATTTTGCTTGGATGTGTCGGACTGTAACTTTTTGCCAACTAATGGGTTTTCCATTAAACCACTAAAAGTTAAACTTTTAGCAGGGGAGCAAGCAACCAAGTTGGAGTTGGCACCCTCTGTGGGGGTTGCTTTTAAGGGAAAACCACGAGGAAAACGGGAAAAGACATCCATGCTGGGGCTCTCTGGGGGTTGGTTTAAAGGAAGACCACATGTTAAAACATCCAGGGGGTGCCCCACACCCAGTTGGAACGTTGACCTGTCGCTGCTCTTGGCGGTTTTTGTCCCCCGGCATCCAGGTATGGGGTCTATTCGCAGGTGGTTTCTGTAATAGTTGTTGCCGTGTTTTGAGGGTCCAAAAAATGACTAACATATATGATGCGTTTGTTTGTCTGTTTTTTGCATCGTTCAGTTGTTGTGTTTCTAGCTGTTGCCGTTTTGTGAGGGTCTAAATCATTACGGTTGAGCCATACGGTGGGTTGAGCCCGGTTATGAAGCTTGGTGGCCCACGATGCTTGCTGGCTTGTTCTTTTAGGCCAGTTTGGTGGATAAATGGACACTGACAGACTGTTTGAACATCCATAACCTCTGACTTCTAGCTTGTTTGGGTGTGGCTCAAAATTTCAGAGCTGGGGTTACGCAGGTTTTAGTCTTTGGTTCCATTTACCAAGGTGCCATTTTGGTACATGTGTTTGACCCACAGCCGTTTGAGCTTAGAGGGATTGATGACACATGCCGCCAAACGTGGTTTTATCTTCCAGCAACTTTCGCCAGGAGCCCAACGCCGCGCAGCGCCAACTCGCCGGGTGGTATGCCGCCACTCGGCCTCGGATGTAAACACCAAGACATGCCCTGACTGGCTTGATTTTGGGTTGGATCTTTAGACTTTACTGGGTCCCCCAGTAGTGCCCTTTTACCCCTTTTTTGGGGGGAGTTCCCCTACTTAAATATTTTTGGGGGGAGTTCCCCTACTTAAATAGACTACAGAAAAAAAAGGTACCCTTATTCTACCCTCTCTTACTGGAGGACCTAGTTTAAAACTTTTTGGGAAATCAAGGGTTGTACATTCAACCCATCAAACGTGTTTTTTCTTCTTCTTTTTGCAGAGGTGTTCACAGCAACCAGGTTTTTAGGGTTTAGTGGTAGTGTCCAATAAACGGCTAAAAGTTTAAGCAGATCTGAGGATGGCCCAGGTCTGAATTGATTGGCTTTGCATAAAGTTGTTGCCACCCTGTAACGACGCGAAAGGCGGAAGGTTGATGGGCTTCGAGTTCATTGTAATGGTTTTGTGCATGTCACAGCATGTGTGGAATTATGCTGAATGTTAGAATATATTTCAAGGCATGCATGTGTGCATAACCAGATTCATATACTGACCTATATGCATGTGGCAATTATAGACTTTCACACATATGCATTCTTACATATGTACGTGCATATCTGCAGGCAAAAGATAGCCGGAACCAAGAGAAAAGGGGGCATACGAGCCGCCGGCGATTGAGCAAAGGTGCCAGAAGCCCAGCTTGTTTGTGCCTTGCCAGTATAGTATAGCCAACCATTATCAGGCAAACTTGGGTCTTCCCAAGTCCGGAAGGGTGCCTGTTTCTGCCAGAATAAGAGGCCTGAAGGCTTGCCTTGTTTCTGTTTGAAGCCTCAACATCTGATTGAAGCCTTATGAAGCATGGTCTGTGGACTCTGCAATTCTCTTATTTTGATAAGTTGCCGAGGCGCAAGCGGTGCAACTGACACCTCACATGATGGAGTGCACACACACAGACACACAGACACACACACACAGACACACACACACACACACACACACACACACACAGACACAGACACACACAGACACACACAGACACACACAGACACACAGACACAGACACAGACACAGACACACACACACACACACACACACACACACACACACACACACACACACACACACACACACACACACACACACACACACACACACACACACACACACACACACACACACACACACACACACACACACACACACACACACACACACACACACACACACACACACACACACACACACACACACACACACACACACACACACACACACACACACACACACACACACACACACACACACACACACACACACACACACACACACACACACACACACACACACACACACACACACACACACACACACACACACACACACACACACACACACACACACACACACACACACACACACACACACACACACACACACACACATGAGTACTACCTCGCCGTTGGGACATCGGCAGCCGACTGCCGGGTCAGTGAATAATGCGACGAAATCGGTGTCCGTTTTGGTTTCAAGACATTTGTGTTCGGGACACACCTGCAGTTGTTCGAGCTGCACCTGGCAATCCTCCAATCATGTCTTGCGTTTCTCGAGCAAATACCACCCAGACGCACACCCCATCCAGCGATTCTCATTACCACTACCACTTTTCTAGGAAAGCACGGGCAACCAGTTGCAAAACCATTCATGCAGCTTCAGGAGAGAATCTAGGTGTAGCCAATGGAGGTTTGGCTGGGCTCACCTGGGCCACGCCATTTCTCCAGGTGGGCGGCGAAGGGCGTAGCTGACTTGGTGAGCTTTCATGGCAACGCGATCGATTTTTCTCGCAGGCACGGTGGCTTGAAACCTGTCGGCTTTGAACACCCTCAGTTGGCTTAGTGATTTCAATGTGCATGTTTTGCAGGTATCCAAGGGCACCACCCTTCATAGGTATCCAAGGGCAGCACCCTTCAAACACCAAAAGGCACACGGCTGATTACCCAAATTCTCCAAACTGGGATGCGCTGGGTAGTCTCATCTCACTGGAACACGCTCAAAGATGGTCGGTGATTAGAGCACACGTAAGAGATGTCCAGCGAAGGCAAGGGAGCAAGCTAACGGAGGCTCAGAAATCGCGGTGCAAAAATGGTCCAAGGGTAATTACCTGTTGTTCAGTCGGTGCCCAAGGGAACCACCGGTCCTTTGTTTCATGTTAGCATGGTTTGTGACCATTGGGAGGGGCCTTGACAACCATAGAACAGAATAGGGGTACGTGGTTGAGCCCCTGCACCCGCCGATGCCTTTTGCCCTGCAAGGCGCAGCGTGCCAAGCGTGCGGAGAAAAATCGAGCGGACGCAGCGGAACATCGTGGGGTGGTTGCCAGAATAATTGCCTGGGCAACTTCAATCGCATTTTTTGGAAAGGTTTCAGGCGCCCTCACCCAGAAAGGTTCCCTATCTGATTTCAGCTGTGTGAAGAATAGCCAGTAGCACAACCACCCAGCGGATTCCTAAATAATATTAGTGGCATGGTTGGTTTCTCAACCATTTCTTTTATCGTACGTATCAAAAACAGACCATGAGCTTTGATGTTGGGGCTGGTCCCAGGTTGCGCATCGCTTGGCGCATGGCCAGACAAATGCTGGTGACGTGTGATTTCTGTGGACCTTGCCAGTCAGCTGGTAAGTGGCAAAGTGGTACTAGGTCCCCCAAGAGTGCCCGTTTTAACCCCTTTTTTGGTTGGGAGGGTTCCCCTACTAAAATGGACTACAGCAATAAAGGGTACCAACTTATTCTGACCTCTCTACTGGAGGACCTAGGGTACGTCGCCATTGGGATCCGAGGGGTGAATGGGCTATCGGGCGAACTGCGAACCGCTCTGACCAACCCCTTCGACTGGGACTTATAAAGGCGCGTCAAGACGCACAAAGCACAAAGTGGCCACGCACGCCAGAGTCCAAAAGAAGCCCTGGTCCTTTCATTACATTGGGATACCCATTGGGCAAACTCAAAAAGCATTCCCACAAAGTGCCTGGTCCTTTTGGGCGTGGCGGTCTCGGGTTTCGTGGACGGCGTTCTGGCCAGGACGCCGAACTGGTTATTGAAGACCCCGGAGGCGAACTGGATGTACCTCCGGGAAAAAGAAAGGAAAAAGGAAAAAGGGGTACCTAAGGGACCTAATGTTGACCCCGGATGAATAAATCCCTGTTTATTAATATGGGGGTGTCCCTGGTTTTAGTGGGGATGTAAATCACTTTTGGAGGGGAACACCCCCATATTAATTCACAGGGGTTTATTAATCCGGGGTCAACATTACCAAACATGGTTTCTCATTTGATTAATGGCCCCCTGTTTCCCTTTTTTTTTTGGTGGCTACCCCACTACAATGGTCTTCCCAAAAAAGGGTTCCTTTTTTTCCCAGGGTCACTGAACAACTGAGGTTTGGTTCCAAAGAGTTTCCTGAGGATCCTCCTCAAGGGAGCTTAAATGAGAACGCTTCCACTTAGAACAGCAAGCAAGAGAATCGGCGTCAACAGACATCTTCATGCTCAACTGCAAGAGTGACTCCTTGACAATGGCAGCATGTTTCGTTTTAAAAAAATGAGACATGCAAATTCATGCAAAGGGCTCCCTGGCATGTCATTTTGGCAGTGCCTTGCAAATTGGTGTCAGTCAAGCATCCCCCGACCTGTGACGTGTTGTTTGTTTTCACGGCAATGTGTATTTGTTGACTCACCTGTGTACATGTGCATACTTATATAATTACATATGTGCACATGTAGGTACAAGCTTGTGTAGTCGTATACATGTTTGTTTCGCACAATATCTACAGACACAGTTAACCCCCATAAACCACATTTGGTAGTTGCCAATTGTGACAGTACTCTGTGTGCTCGCCGACATATACTTAGATGCATAGACCCCATGAGGTTCAGGGCCCCTTGGGCACGCTCTATCAGCGTGGTTTTGTCCAGAAGACTTGCACAATGCATGGGTGTCCGTTCCAAGTCACGTTGGAGTACCTGCAAAGTTACCACTGGGGCCCATCAGCAAAACAGTACTGTAGAGTCTACTCCTGCAGCTTGCTACTGCTTTCCTTAGAATATAGCTGGAATCTGAGCAGAAATTCAAGCAACCTGGCCAATCCTCAAACTTTTCGTCTCCTCTGAATCTGTCCAATCTTGGTCCCCAGAGATGTCCCCGCTCGTCTGGAATTGTGCAATGGAACAAACTAGGGTCTAGGAAACCACAATTAATATGGGGCTTTGGTTTCGGTTAGATTTCTGCAACATTGCTAGGACAGTACTCCAGAACAAGCTAGGCTTTGGGGTGAACCAGATGTTGTAGCATGCTCACCTAGGTCCCCCAGTAGTGCCCTTCTCAACCCCTTTTTTGGTTGGGAGGGTTCCCCTACTAAAATAGACCACAGAAAAAAGTTGGTACCCGTTATTCTAACCTCTCAAATCTGGACCTAGTCGCGGTTTAGCAGTGCAGTGCCTAAGTCGTGTCCTGCACGGTCTTTTTCGCCCTGAGAGCCTGGGAGGAATCATGTCCCGTCCCATTCGGAGTTGGTGTTCCCTCCAACAGTGGGACTGTCTGCACCCCCACTTGGGGACACCCGATAAAAAGTCAACCGGTCTGTTGACCCGGGGTTCACATAGCCCTCAGGAAGCCACAAGGCCGCAGTAGGTCAGACTTTCCGCAATGCTGAAACCTATGCTTGAAGCTTGCAGTAGAGCAGGCGGTCTTGTGCGTGTGTTTTTTCGAGGTTGCGGGAAGGTTGCAGAGCAAGTTCCGGGGCATGAGTTTCGGCCGATGTTGGGGATGCCCCCTTTCTCAATGCGTCTCATCTCTAAGGCACAAGCTCCCGATCACAGGAGCGCCTGCCCCTTACTTTGGGGGGTGGTTCAAAATTTGGGGCACCTTAAATTGGGATCCTTTCGGACAAATCGAGCTTCTCGAATCAAAGCGAACATCAACGAGCTCACCCAAGGCCTTATACTTGGGGTCTCCCTTAGTCCCATTGGCCCGTTTGCATGGGTTTACACTTCATGGTTTGACATATGGATTGAAGTGTGCTTTACTTGTTGCTTTACTTTCTGGCTTACTTTATGGTTTGCTCCATGATTGGCTATATAGATTGTTGGGATGGATTACTTTGCGGTGGAACGGGGTTGAAGATTTATGGGGGGGTAGTTGTTGGTTTGTGCAACATGTCTGGGAACTTCCCAGTGGATTTGTGCGAGCTGTTGTTTGAGTACATCTTCCTAGATGTACATAATTTTCTAGAGCATGAATTAAGCCGTTACATAAACCACGAAGTGAACCACACAGAAGTAATTCATAAAGTAAACCAACTTAAGTACAACATGAAGGAAACCATAAGAGCCATACAATAGGGCATAATTAGTTAAACAATGCAGTATTTGGTTTCTAGAAAACCATAAAGGAAGACAAACGGTACGCCACAACGTAAGCCAAAGAAAGGGTACCCTACAGAAAGCCAGACAGCAAACCAAGCCGTAAAGTAAGCCATACAGTAAATCGTAAAGTGAACCACAAAGCATAAAGTAGCCCACAAAGTAAAGCATAAAGTAGATCATCCCGTAAGCCATAAACTAAAGCATGAAGTAGACCAGAAAGTAAAGCATAAAGTAGACCATACACTAGGCCGTACAGAACAGCACAAAGACCGTAAAGCAACCGGTAGTTAGACCATACAGCAAGCAATAAAAAAAAAGGCACAACGTAAACTGTAAAGTAAGAAAACGAACCGTCAAGTAAGTAAACCGAGTAAGCCGCAAAGGTCCTTTTTTGACCAGCTGAAACCCTGGCCTTGTTCAGGCGAAGAAGCGGATTGCCGCGACGCCCCCCTCGGGCCCATCCATGCAGCGAAGGCGAGGTTCGATTCGGGTAGGGCTTGTTTTTATATGGAGGGCCATTTGTGTTGGATTTCTTTATAAAACGGTTTTTCTTTAGAATGTTTTCCTGGAATTTTCCAGGAAGACCTTCCAGCATCCTGCCAGATTCCTGTGACTGGTTTGTCAGTCAGGCCAAAACAAGGGAGGTGCTAGACAAGGTCTGTCCAAGACCTTCCGTTCGCGGATTTGTGTTGTTCCCCCGGTTTCAAACAGAATCATTGGACATGTTGCGATACTTTTTCCAGGGGGCTGAAGCAAATGGAGGAGACCGCTCCGAAAGTACAGAGGATGGTCCCAACCCAAAGTTGGCTTGGACATACTGTTTCTTTTTCTGGATCCGAATTGGTTCGGCCCTGGTTTGTTGGATATGATTTTATATTCCAAGCTTCATCTAATTCTGAGCCAGAACCTGAAGACATATGTTTCTTACTTGGCCCCTGGAGGTAGAGGTAGACGCCATAAGGGCACAAGCAATACGGGGGAACTGCCTGATCTTGAGACACGCCCATGATGGCGTCACCGGCATTCGGGTCTGTGATGGACACATATCAGAAGGACGCCTGCAGCTGTGTCCTATATCCGTCAAGTTTAGTGAGCACAGGGCCAACATCCTTGATTTGAATCGGAGCACATGAGCATGGTTGGCTTGAGAGTGGTTGTCACTGTCCTTTGGACACCTGAGGCTGAAGCAAGCTTCGGATCAAGCGAACCCTGCAAATCCTACAAAGAAAAGTTTCGGGCCTCTGGGGGATTTTCAGCGCGCCATGAACTGTATTGGAAGAAGCCTCATCGAAAATCCTCTTTTGAATCACCAACCAAAGACGGGGACGCTGGAAGAATCGCACTGAACACACTGCCCCACCAAGAGATGTTTTGGTTGACCTACCAGCAGAGCGGGTGTTGGGAGCATCAGGTCCCTGCACGTTGGTCGAACTGATCTTGATCAAAGGAGGATTGCCTGTGAGTCGAGAAGCCCCCAAAATCCCTGTTAGATATTTTCGGAGGTGCTTCTGGTTGGATTGGTATAGCAAAGCCGAGATATGAACCTGAATAAGCATAATTCTGGGTTTGGGCGCTGCTCAAAGGGTAGTGTCTTCCGGTTTCTTGGACAAGCGCCACTCAAAGGGAAGCAAACCTCCAACTAGACAAGACCCCAAAAGGGCGGTCTCTGAATTCGGATGGTGAGATATTCCGCGCTTTTGAAGCTTTTCGGTTCCGAAGCGTAGGCTGCGGGATGACATTCAGACGGCCCTGCTGCAGGATTCGGACACGCTTTTGGCCCGGGTCCTCTGAGAGAGTTCGAGCGAAAGGGATATGCGTCAGCAGTGAAGTACTTGGGGGATGACATTGGCTACACTCACCAAATTACCACTAAATGGGGGCTTGTTCACCAAATTCCACTAATTAGGAGGGTTGTTCACCAAATTCCCACGTAGCGGACACAATGAATACTGATCGTGCCTCATTTGACAAACATTGTGGACAAGATGTTTTTTGGATCACTTTCTGGCCCAAGGGAATACAAATTGGCGTGTGCCAAAGTAGTCACACAGATGGCCAATTTCGGTATCACAGAAAGTTTATGGTATCCACAGAGTCCTCTATTTTGGGAGCGCATTCTCATTGTTTTTCGCAAAGTCAGGCAGATCAGGTAACCCTTACTGTAGTTGGCGGTTTGGATTGGTGGTTTGAGGGGTCCAACCCTGGCTTCTCCCTCCCCCCCTCCCTCGCCCCTCCACTCCACTCCACTCCACTCCACTCCACTCCACTCCACTCCACTCCACTCCACTCCACTCCACTCCACTCCACTCCACTCCACTCCACTCCACTCCACTCCACTCCACTCCACTCCACTCCACTCCACTCCACTCCACTCCACTCCACTCCACTCCACTCCACTCCACTCCACTCCACTTTCAACAGGGGATTTGGAAGACTACCCCTGAGCCTCCAAACCACCAATCCAAACCACCGAGTAGAGGAAGAGGACACTGAGCAACTTCGGAGTCCAGACCTTGGGTCAACTTCATGGGCGTACCGGAGACATTCTTTGAACCAGAGTCTAGTGCCGGGGGTGTCAGTCATTCCAAATGAATCCAGCAACTCCGGGTGAGTCTCCGGGTGAAATCGTGATTCGGGGAAATGTGTCTACTTTCAGCCGACCCTATGAGCCAGAATCACCTGAGGCACCTGAACCGGATCAAAACCATCCCAGCTCCAGTCAGAAGCACAGCACCTGGAAATTCCCTTTGGCGCAAGCATGGGGTCGGCTTACATGTTGAGAGTCGGAAAGGGATGCGTCAGAAGCAAACCCCAACACAGGAATACCCCCCCCAAGGCAGTCGGGAATGGACTCAGCCTGGGTGTTGCCCCCTCGGGTTCTACCAGCTGGTTCTGACCCCCCGCGCCAGGCAGTAGCCTTGCTGCGGCAGCACCGCTGCCGCGGCCCGCGGGCCGAGATCTGGAGGGGGTGTTTGCCATGTGTGGGTTTTTCTTGGGCACCATTTTCTTCGGAATGGGTTTGGAGGGGAACCAAAGGTTTAAAAAGCAACTTGCATTTTGGGGGTTCCGCTGTTTTTTTAGCTCAGTCACATCCATTTGGGTGTGCGTTTTTTGTTTTGGGGTACCAATTTCTTTCAGGTTGGTTTAGAGGGAAGCCAAAAGGACGCCAGTTTCTTTAGGGGTCCTCCTATTCACATATTCACTTGTGCCATGGTGAAAAGATGAGTAGGTGGCCTGGCCTTCAGTTTTCGGCATGCATTTGGGCTTTGTTGTAGTAGGTGCCCTGCAAAACGGCTGGCTTTTTGTTTCAAGCTTTACCTTCAACAAGCCCGACAAAACGGAAAAAACGCGCTGCGTTCTGCTTGTGTTTTTTTTTAATGCAGAACACACAAAAACAAAAGCAACACACAGACGTAGATGATTTTCCAATGGTGCGCGGTGGGAGCAAAAGCCAGCTTTGAAGTGGCAAGCCCAAAGGTAATCATTAGGTTTTGTTCCATGGGTTGCTCTTGAAGGATTGGATCGTCATGCTGGGAAAAATGGGCTTCTGGGTAAGGATGAAGAGCTGCGCCGTGTGTTTGCTGCCGTTTATGATGTCATTTGGTTGACTCAGATTCGAGCTGGCGCTGTTTATTGAGCCCTTTGGGGGCTTTGAGAATGGTCAACAATTGGGCCAAAAGCGAACAAGTTTTGCAGTGGTTTTGTGCCGCCTGAGAACTAGGCGGAGGCAAAGGTCGCGAATTCGTTCTACACCATCTTCAGGGTCGTTTTTGTTCGACGCCTATGTGAGTCAGTCTAACCATCTTCAGGGGTTCTTATTGCTTTGACGCCTATGTGAGGTAGTTTGGGAGAATCCTCAAAGGCGGTAGTTTGTTGTGCTATCCCTTTTGAACAGCAGCAGCAGGGGACCCTTAGAACGATGCACCCGAACACCACATTCGATTTCGCCGGAGTGTCTCGGCCGAGGCAATCACAGCGTTTACGAGGCGCGGGTTGGCTAAATTTCCCCGAGCTTGGAGCGAGGGTCGCCATGTTTGGTCTCAAAGCCAGGGAGCCCTCAAGGCCTCAAGGTGGGTTGCTTCGTGTTGCTTCCCTCTACTTTGCTCTCCCAACACAAAAAATCTTGGCTCCAGGCCATCCGGTCCCTTAGCCTGTTAGATCTTTTTAGCTGTTCAGTGGCAGCTTCCATCTAGCCCGCTCAAAGTGAGTCACCTTTAGGGGATCCGAAAACGGGCCCAGAAAATTGATTGGTCACCCCCCATAGCTCCA